TCTTAAATGTCCTTCAAATGCCATGAAGATGAAAATGAATTCACCTTTTTTTTCTTTTTTTTTTTTGGGTGGTCCATGAATTCTCAATCTTCTGGCTTTTTAATGATGTCGTCAAAGAAGTAAAAAGAGAAAGATAACAGCAAAAGCAAAGCCATCGATGATGGCTTTGCCATTTCTACAAGTGTGGGTCTTTACCCTTTTTACTGCTGTAAACAAAAGCTCAAAGGCCCAGTAAAATAAAAGCCCATTCTCTTTTTGTTTTGTGATGATTTGCTAAAACTGCCCTCACGCAGGATCGAACTACGGACCTTCAGTTTACAAGACTGACGCTCTACCACTGAGCTATAAGGGCTAGCTGCTCTGTCGGCTTAATAAAATTATAAAATTATTTTAACTTAGCAGAACTTGTGGTTTTAAGATACCTTACTGTTTCATATTAGGCATTTTTATGAAAATGATCAGTTTTATGGTGGAGGACAAAATCTCAGCTCATGGAAACTACTTGTTCATAGATATTGGAGAAAATGCTATACTCTGAACGCCATTGAAATCTAAATTTGAGATGTACTCAAGGAAATTTTTTGACTGTTATGTGCAGGACGAGTGCCACAGCAACAAAAGAAGAAGCCAGGAGGAGAAGAGGACGTCACCAACATTAGTTTCTTCGACAGGATCATCATGACCAGTGAAAACATGATTCATGGAAAGAGTCATCATGAGAGTACTGTAGTTTCATCACCTTTATGGAGCAGCAAGGCCATGATAGAAAGTGTAAATGAGGTGTGCAAGGATGTTGCTTGGGGTGAGAGAAGGGAGATTGGAAGAATAGGATTGGCTTTGCAAGAGTGTATATGCAGGGACTTGATTGAAGAGATTGTTAAAGAAATGGAATTTGATTGTATTTATCAACTACGACCTTTGCCCTTTGAATCCTGTAAGAAAAGACTATGTTTCTAGTAGCGTCCTTATATATTTCTTGCATTGACCAAATCCCACCTTCAATTTTTTTTTTTCAGTGGAATTATTTCTCAGGTTTGTTTTTAGAAGTGGATAAGAAAAGGATGTGAGAGGGAATTAGAGTGTGGTGAATTGATGATCTTTGTTTGGTTTTTATTTTAATATTCATGATGTAGTCAATGAAAGACATTATTTTTAATTTCGTGTAATTTGCGATAGCATCCTAGTCAAAGTGATGATGGATAAGAAAAATTATGATATGCATTCATTGCATTTTATCTTTTCAAGAAGTTTAGTAATGAGTATAACGGCTAATTGATGATTAGCTTTTAGGTAAATTTTCAAACAAATAATTTCTATGAAATCTTTTAATTATTTTATTTTACCATGTTCAACTCTATATGTTCTTCTGTCTGTAGAGTACATTGAATGTATCAATGTATAGAAATGACTATAAAAATGTGGTGGATAAGAAGAAGAAAAATTCTAAGATTTAGTTTGATATATATATATTTATAGAAAAATATTTCTTTGAGATTTTTTACTCAAAAACTTAAAATCTTACATCTTTTTTATCCCCTAAGACTTGACAATTTCAAAATCCAATGAATTTAACCACAAAACAAACAAAGAATTAAAGTTGGTAAGTCTAGTAAATTATACATTAGTCCTTCTAGTTTTTCAAAAGAAATTAAATAATTTCTCTAGCTTTAATAACTAATTAATTAGTCTTTATGTTTTAAAATTAATTCATAATTTAATTATTTTCATTCATTTTCAATTTATTTTGTTTTATAAATAGAAAAAAGAAAAAGTTAAGAGACTAATTAATTAATTTTTAAAATAAAAAGATTATTTAATTCATTTTGTAAAATTAAAGGGACTAGTTTATAATTTACTCTTGATATGTCAAATTTCCACGGATGGTGTTTTAAATGCCAACATAGATTCGACAAGGCCGCCTAGGAATGGTGCGACAGGGAAGGCGATGGAGCGATTACGTGGCAGTCAACGCGACCCAGATGACGTCATTCTCCGCGTCCACACCGCGTAAACGCGTACGTGCCCTTTTTATTTTGGCCATTTTTGATTCGCTAAAATCACCGGCTGTTTCACCGAAAATCACTGTCCACCAGTGATTATTAAGCAAAAATCTTTTTGAAATTGAAGAAACTTACGTGGCGTCAGGTGAGTGGTGGGTTCTAATAATGGTCATTAACTGTTTTGCTATTTGCAGATCTGTCGAGCTCTTTCTTCCGCTTGCGATTGACATTTTTGTACTTGTCTTCTTGCCTGTTGTACGATTTTATCCATAGCGATTATTATTTATTACAGGTGGGTGTTTTTTTTAATTTTGAGGGTTTAATTTTTGCAAATAATGCAATGACGGAAGTACCCTTCAATTGGTTTGGAAAGTTAATCTGCCATTTGCGAAAGGCAGGGTGTCTGGATAACCTTTTTTTTTCTGGAGTGAATAACATTTATTTTCCCCAAACCTTGGAAGTTTTACATTTTTAGTCCTAAAATTTTGAATTTTTTTAATTATATCCTTCCATTTAAAGTTTATTTTTGTTCATTTTGACAATTAGTGTATTCTCAAACCAATTTTTATATTAAGACTTTATTAGTTTCTAATCATATTAGACAAACGATTCACATGTGAAATAATCCTTAAATAAACTTCCTATAATTGCACATCTAAAATAATAACGTGGATAACAAAATTCATAATCAATATCTCATAGATTTTTTTATATGAAGATATTCCTGCTTATTGTTGTTAATTTTATTTAAAACTAGACGATAAATAAAATTTATAAGTATTTGGGAATTTAACATCATTGTATATAACTGTATGCAAAAATATTTATTACTGATTTAATTGCATAAGTTAATATGATTTTGATGCAAACGAAAGTAAAGAAATAAAATTAGTTGAAAGAAATTTACCAAAAGATACCTTTCTTCTTTTTTTATTAATTAAAGATTTTAGAATATATCATTATTAAACAATTAAAAATACTATTATTAATATTTACATAATAATTTAGATTTTTAAATTAAAATAACTATTTGATATGCTATCAGAGTCGATCCAAATATTTGAAAAGAAAGCTTTCTTAGTATGAGCATTGGAGACAACCTCTATAAAACCAGAGTGAACAAGTGATGAGAAGATCCGACACTTGTGTTCTTCAAAACTTTCAGACAATAACCTATGTGGACATTAGCGTAACTATGGGATGCTGGGGTCCATATGTTGCATCTTGGTGGCTTACCCAAAAGGAGTTAGCCAGTATTCATTGAATCAACAATTTCTTAAGCCAAGGTGAATGCATGTATATTTTCCTTTCTACACAAAATCAAAGATAAACCCATCAAGGAAAATAGGTGAAAATGCATATCTAAGTTTACTAGATAAGTTTACTCAACTGATTAACAACATCATAATTAAATTTTAGGGTTAAAATGATAATTTTCAACTAAAAAAACAAGAATAATGTTTTTAGTGAAGTTGTAAAAATTGATGTGGATGAGGTTTGTAATTTAAGGAGTTACTCACACAATAGTCTCGCAAGGATTAGAAGCGAGGCTAAAGAGCACCCCTTACAGGAGCTTGGAGACAGAAGCCTCTTAAGGTCTACGGAATATTAGATCTAATGTTTAGACTTGTTAGGACTTTTTAATTGTAATCCAAATTGCCCACTGTATAAATAGAAATAATTTCTCTTATATTTGAAACCACTATATAATAAAATCCTAATGTAGTGGTGTGTAGTTATAATTGTTGAACTAAGTAAATTTTTCTATGTTGTGATTGTTTTTATCTTGTTATTCTATTTTCTTTCTTAATTTGTTTCCTATCAGTTTCATCATTCATATTCAAAGAGAAATTATCTTTATTACTTTCAATAATTTGAGAATTATAAATGCATTCAAAGATGGGAAACTTAGATTTTCAACGTAATCTTTTTAAATAGTGAAAACAAAAGTTTGAAATAAAAGTTTAATCTATGCGTAAAGTAACAAGAATAATTTTATATTATTATCTAGCAATCACAAAAAAATAAATAAAAAAAATCATTAAAATATCTTTAATTTTGTCAAGTATAAAAAGTGAAGTGTTTTATGAGTCGCAAGTTAATAAAAAGAAATAAGACAAGTCTATCAATCTCAAAGAAAAGGGGCATATTTTGTTTTTCTAAGATATCTTTTCACTTTTGATAGCTACCAAGTAAATGATAATTGACATGACAAAAGAAAAACAGTACTGAAGAATGCAACTATTCATCAAAAATATTTATTTACTCTAATGGTAATAATTTATAAACCAATTTAAAAAACTAAAATTGATCTAAATAAATAAAAAAATATTTCTATATTTAACGGGCAATTTCATCTATCACTTTACTATAATCATGTTTTTTCGAAAAACCTCATTTATTCTGATGTGGATGTAAGCCGGACCGATATGTTTTACTTTTAATAAGATTCTTATTAGCATTGGTTCTATTTAATTACTACTTAATATTAAAAATAAGAAAAACAATTAATTACTTAATCGTTAAAATATATGGCAGCTATATTTTTATATTCTTACATAAAATATAATGAAAAATGCTAAATTTCAGCAATCATACATTCATAGTACATACATTGCAAGTGTTAAAAAAAAAAAAAAAGGCAAAAGAGAGAAAGAGAGAGAAAAATGCTTGGGAAGGACTGATAAGTTTAGAATGGGAGGGCATAATGGTCATTTAAAAATAAAAATAAAAATCACCTCAAAAAATTAAATAGAATGAGGAAGGAAATGAGAGGGGCAAAATAGGAAGTACAAAAGTGAGTTGGAATTAATAAATTGGTTACGTCCGGTTACAAGAAAGCTAGCCAGCTAGGTGGCTAAATTAGCTCATATAAAATCACAACCCCTATTGTCTGAACCTAAGATAAATCGGTTCTGTTTTCTCTCTCTCCTACACGCACATCTCTCTGTCCCTCAGGCTTTTATTCCCTCTAGATTTCTGCTTTTTTTCAAACGAGAAATGGCGGATCAATTGACTGATGACCAGATCTCTGAGTTCAAGGAAGCCTTCAGTTTGTTCGATAAGGATGGCGATGGTTTGTTTTCTTGATCTCTCTTTTGATTTGCTTATTGGGGTGTCTTTGGTTTTGTTTTTATGTTTCTTGGTTGTGTTTGTGGCTTGATTTGTTTTATGTCATGTTGTTTGGGGGTAAAAGATAGTTTCTTTTGAGGGAAACATGTGTTTTTGATTGGTGGGTTGTTTTTAAAATTTGGAAAGTTGTTAGATTGAGATTGGAAAAATTAATGGAAATATGTGTTTTTGATTGATGGGTTGTTTTTTAAATTTGGAAAGTTGTTAGATTGAGATTGGGAAAATTAATGTCTTTGGTAAAAGAAAGATTCTTTTAGTGAAATATGGGATTTTGTTTGGTTCTCTTTAAAATTTGGAAATTTTGATTAAAAATGAAAGAGCAGATCCTGTCAACAATGAAATTTACGTGATGCTTGTTAGTTATTGCGGAGGATTCGAGGTTTGTAATTTTTGGCTTTTTTTGGTTGCAAATTGGCAGTTATTCTTAACTCTTTGCATGAAATGATTGTAATATTGTGACTCCTAATGAAATTCTTTACTGTTGGGCAAATGGTTGTCTTGTTTTGATATTTTGGTTAGCTTATTACTGTCTGTGTCGGGTTTATTTGTATTTTAGGTTCCTGAATGCTTGTGATTGGTTCTTTTGGAACTTTGGTTGTTCTAAAACTTTATGAGATGCCTATGTAAGTGGTAAATGAGATTAAGCTTGGCCTGTGAAAATTTACTGAGAATATTGAAACATAAAGGCCTTTCGGATCCTTTCTTTTGCTGCATTCTGATTGTTGCATTTATAATATAAATAATATTCTGAAACAGGAGCTTTGATCATGTGTGTGGTGGTGAGACCATTGAAACAATCGGTAAATTGGTATTTGATATGTTTTGTGGTTTGCAGGTTGCATCACCACCAAGGAACTGGGGACTGTGATGAGATCGCTAGGACAGAACCCAACTGAGGCAGAACTCCAGGACATGATTAACGAGGTTGATGCTGATGGAAACGGTACCATTGATTTTCCCGAGTTCCTGAACCTGATGGCAAGGAAGATGAAAGATACCGACTCCGAGGAGGAGCTGAAAGAGGCATTCAGAGTTTTTGACAAGGATCAGAACGGTTTCATCTCTGCAGCTGAGCTCCGTCATGTTATGACGAACCTCGGCGAGAAGCTTACCGATGAAGAGGTTGATGAGATGATAAGAGAAGCTGATGTTGACGGTGATGGCCAGATAAATTATGAAGAATTTGTGAAGGTTATGATGGCTAAGTGATCAACCCACCCCCACCTGAAAAATTATTTTTATAAATTCAAATTAGTAGGGGATAACAGGGTTGACTAATATAAAGGGATTTCTAGTTTACCTGTTTACAATTTATTGATGGTTTTTTTAAATCAAGGCTCGTAAAGGAAGTGGTGTTGGTGGTTTATCCTGGTGGTTTTGTTGGAATGTTCACTCTTCCTTTAATTCGTCTTGTGAAACTCGGTTGTTTTTACCAGTTTATGCTTTTGCCTTTTTGATCTATTGTAAACTTGAACTACTTGGATAATTCAATGCCTATCTGTTGGATGGATGACCCATTCTATTAGTCTCCTTTTGCTCCTTTTCTGTTGCTGTGCACATGGAAACTTCTGTGCTCTGTTGGTAGGGTTAAGCTTGTCATCATTCGTTCCAAGTTCTCAAAAGCTGCTGTGGTCTAATTCCTGCGGGCAAATCTTTGAAATAAATTTCGAGAAAGCCACGCTCCATTGGCTCATGCAAAACATTCTCAAATCTTTTTGTAGCTATGGGAGTTGGTCCTAAATGGAAAAGTAAAAGGTATGAAGAATGGTCTGGTCCACAATTAATCAAAGAGAAGCTACGGGTTAACTAAAGCATTAATGCCTTTACCGGTCTCAAAAGACCCTATTAAAACCTCAGTCAACAGCGAAGAACAAATATGATTTTGTACTTTGAAGGTTCAAGTCGTTATTCATGGATAGGTCAGAGGAAAAAAAGATCTTTTGAAGAACAAGAAGTCATCTTCCATAACCAATTCCAGATTAGAATATAGATTCACATCTTGTTACCGAAATAATTTCCACTCTGAAAACTCTAGTTTTTTTCTTGGCTGTGCAAATCGGTAGAAGCATCTACCCTATGCGATGAACTGTTTATTTTACATACACAAGTTTGGAATTACGTGGCCTACCCCAAACCAAACGAAAAAAGAAAAGAAAAGAAAAAGGAAATCAAGTGCAAATCAGGCAGGCCTCTTCAAGGAATGCATTGCAGCGTCCAATCACAAAGAAAGAGATCATAATGCAAGTCAAACAAAGAGCTCAAGTTTTGATTAAATCCATCACTCGTCCACCAAGGGAAAATATTCCTTACATCAGCATATCCTCCCATTTTCCTTACATAGGCCCATTCATCAATAAACAACGGAAGCTGGCCACATATCCATCATGGCAGTTCAATAGATGTGCAAGCTTATACCATCATAATCTCTTTAAGCTCTTTTTTCTTGCATCTATTTTCTTCTTGTCTGCCTGAACTTTTGAAAGTCCAACATCTTTTTTCAGGGTACTGACCGCTGGTGCAGCCGCAGATCCACTAACTCCTGTCTCATGCATTGGACCTACAGCAGCTGGCTGATCCTGATTATTTCCCCCTTTGCTGGCTGTTGTACAAGGGGCCAGTGGGGATTGCAACGGTACAGCAGCACTAACAGCTGCATTCCTTTGGTCACCGTTATTAAGAACTGAGGTGTTGCTCTGGTCAACATTCAGAGCTGTAGTTGATTCCGAAATGGCTCCGGACTTGAACTTAGGTTTTGGCTTTGCATGGATTCCAGTATATATCCTGAAAACAAGTTTGCAAACACATGTTAGTCATCAACATGGTTTTCATTCCAATATGGAACCACGTAACCAGTAAACTTTCTAATGTTACGCTAATTCTCTTTAAATATTGTCATGTCTCAATGAAAAAACATACGCAATGTACCATAAAAAAAAGGGTTTTTTCAAAAAAAAATTACACACACACACACACACACTTGGAATGATGCATTTTCTTTCAGATTCTAAAACATACTCCACAGTTTATTTGTTCCAGTGATCGGTCTAATGAGAGCTAATTACGAAATATGTAATTTTTGGATCTCTTCCAAATTAGTGGCAACACCCCAAGCTACACATTTCAAAGAGGCAAATACTTGGTGTTGAAATAGCATATGAACTAGGAGTTTAAGAAGTTGCGGTCTATTAACACTAAGGAGATTGGCATCTTCATAATAATCTGAATACTTCCAAAGGTCCCACAGCACCTGCCTTATTCCATAACTAGATCCACTATCGGGTCTGTCTAACAAATAATAAATGACATGATATTTGATGAGCAAGGTTCTGATGCTTCCATCTAACACCACATGAAGTAGAAGGTATGGGATGGCTCACCTGGCATGTCTGGCATACTCTTCATAATTTTCAAGGAGCATCTTGCCAGCCTGTTCATTCAAAGCTGACTCTGGAAATGGTTCAATTAATAAACATCTCACTACCTGGTATCAAAAAGCTCAGAATATCAATAGAACCCAATAAGAGGTGAAAATGAAAGTAGATGAAGTAACAGGGCCAATGGAACTTACAGTGAGGACATGGCGTAGTCCAAGACTTGGATTCCAATCTTTTTTAAGCGTATTAACACAAATCTCACCATTTGAAGCAATATTTGGATGGAAAATCCTAGTCAGGAAGTAACCTATAACATAAATGTTCAAAGGATTCAGAAGCCAACAAAAGAAAATAGATCAAGAAAGGAAATTAAATCTGGAATGTAATATGAAGAAAGGCAGTCCTTGACTGCCCATTACCACAAAAGTTTCCTCCACGCTACAGGAAGTAAACCTTTGAATTAAATTAAACTACATATCAAAAAAATTTCAAGTCATATCAACAATGTGAATCCACAAACCTTTGGGAGGAGAGTGTGGAAAATCATGAGATAATAATAGCTTCATGCGGAAAACACCATTTTCATATGGAGTCCCAGCTGCACAGCCAAAGATATACTTGAGTATAAACCCCAAAAGAATATCTTAAAGGATGTAAATTTAGAAGGAAAAAGTTTCGTGCCTGGGCCTTCAATATCAGCATATATGATTGAAAAATCATCATCGTTTACTCCTACTTTAATTCCCTCGGGTGGTGATTCATCAAGATTCTTCAGTTCCTTTGCAAGTTGTTTTATTACATTCGGTGGAAGATTTTCATTTGTTGCCTTCCAGAAGGAAAAAGAAAAAAGAAACAGTAAGATAGAGGTGAAACAATATACATGGCAGCCTTATTATAAAGCTTTGCGAATTAACTCAAAGCAATAACTATTTTCTTTATCCTAGCCTAGGAATTGCTAAGTGCCGATCCAAATCTGAAGCAACTGCATGTTTCCAGCATCCATGATCCATCACCAATTTAAGGCATCATACCAGTTATTTCTAGTTCGTATAATTCTTCAAAAAATTGTATAAACCAGCCAAGGAATAATACAGACATAATATGACATTGAATTCATTTCCTATCACAAACAGCTATGATTTTTTTTTTTTTTTTTTTGGTATCATGATCCTATTTTTTAATTGTGCATTTCTTTACCAAAAGTGGGCAGCAGTTATTATCTTATCATCCACTATTTTAATTTGTACATATCCAAAGGAAAAAAGAGGGGGGCGGGTGTGGTGTGGGATTGTGTGATTGAAGATAGATTACCATGGCCACAGAAAGGGGATGCTTGCAAGGTTATTTGCTGCTCTTGCTGATGTGAAACAAAATTTTAAAAAAGACGTTCCACAATCTTATCCAAACTTGCTGCTGACAGTGGCGGATCAGATATGAGCTGTAAATAAAATCAAGATAACTTTCAGAGAAAGAATTGAATGCAGTTCTGTTCACATTAATTTCCATGGAAAGAAGTACAAAAAACCAAGGGTGTGCATCCGTGCTCACACACAAAAATGAAATTAAAAACCCAACAACAGATATTGACATTTGGCTCTTCAATGGGCAGCTCCTTAATTCATATCCATGTAGTGAGCCTAGTTAATTCTTAAGACTGAAAACATATAATCCTCATATGTAAACCAAGATGGTGATTCAAGCACTTTCTGTTAGCAAAAAAAAATAACAGAGCGCTCCCTACAAACAATTGCAAGTACCACAGTAACTACTTGCAGACCCAACAACAGACAACTACTTACATGGTCTAAACTTTGAAAGCCCCTAGTTTCTCACAACTGACACGATTTAAACTTTCAAGGTTCGTATTATGGTGAAAACTAAGCAAATAAAAAGCGTTCCCGTTAAAAAATAAACTCACATTCCTACCTGTGGGCCTATATGTCAAATAATTTAGAGATCCTACAATTCATTGATATTCCAATAATCTAGTTATAAACACTTGTCTGTCTAAAAATCTTCCAATTCATGGAAACCTGTTTGGAAGCCCAGAATTTCTCAAAACTTTTTCAGTTCTCAAGCAGTGCAAAAAGAACTCAGATAACCAACAATGTACTCGTAGCTTAATTTAGAGAAACAAAGAAATTCAAAGAGAGATGAAGATTTCAACCATAGCTTCTTAATGCGTACTGGAATCTACAAAAGCCAGCAGTTAAAAGAACCAAATGCCCCCAATTACAAAGCCATAATACTCAATCCTGCATTAGCTAATCCTAATCTGCTGTAATCTGCACAGGCCCCAATCCATGCTTTCGAAATACTTGTGCCCCCAAAATCTCACAATTGCACAAAAGTGTTTTCCCACACCTTGATCTACATACGAACTTTGAAAATACTTTGTTTAAAGTTTTGCATCAAACAATTGAGCAACATATATCAATTACAAAAACAAACAGTTAAAGTGCTGAATCCAATCAGTGAAAGGAAAAACCCTAAACAAGAAAAACAACCAGAATAACTCACACATCAAGTGAAATAAACCCATTTATTGAAACCCTTTACAAATCCCTAAACCCTAAAAGACAATCATCCATAACCCTATCAAAAACTTACCCACTTAGCCAAATCAAACAAAAAGAATAAAAACCGGAACTCTCAAATTAAAAAGTTAAATCCAAAACCAAGCATTGGATGTAAACCCATTTAGCTTAAATCAAAGAAAAGAACCTTATATATCCCAAAAAAACAAAAAACAAAAAACAAAAACCCATCTTCACAAATCAACTAAACAGAACACAAAACCCTCATAACTCTCCAAAGAATCTCTCACATTCCAAGAAAGCAATCAAATTCATATTAAAAAGAAATAGCAAAGAAGTAAAGAATCAAGTTGCTAACCAAATAAAGAACAAAACTTTAACTTTCCAATCAACAAGAATTATCTAAAACTTATCAAATTCACTTTAAAAAACTGATCAATAAATTAAACATTAAAACAAAAAGAAATTCGATTAAAGTTCAAAAACAGCAAAACCCAGATGGGTAATTTACCTTACCTTCTTCTTCTCCTCCTTCAAGAGAGAGAGAGAGAGAGAGGGGGGGGGGGGGGAGGAACGTCTACTTTATGCTAATGTAAGATACAGTGAGAGAGCGATCTCTCCTTGGAATCAATGATTGATTGGTGAATTTTAAAGAGAGAGAGTTAGGAGCGAGAGATTTTTCTTCTTTTCTTTTTTGCTAGTATTTATTTATATGCAAACAAAAGAAATACAAAAAAAAAAAAAAAATTCTTTTTGAAAATTTAAAGAAATACAAAATTATTTGTAATAAACGGGCCACGGGACAAGATACAGAGGATTTAAAGACGTTAGATGGAGATCCATTCCCACGCGCGTGTTTTGGCGTGTGGGTCGCAGTTTGAAGAGAAAGACCGACAGAGATAGCGCGTGCTGTGCATTCGTTTTGTGGGTGAGTGAAGAAAGGTATTGTTTTGTAACTTTTTGAAATGCTAACACTACTTACCAGACCTGACGTCAGAGTCATGATTTTGATTTTATTTATATTTTCTTGGTGAAGATGGAAAGTGAAATGACAGATATAGTCGCCCACAAGAGAAATTGCCATTACTAGTCTAATAATTAATTTCTCAAATAAATAAATAGTTTTGGTTAGTAAAAACAAAATATTATCTTGTTTCTAGATTGTGTTTTAGAGTTTTCTTGATTGTTAAAATTGTATTAACAATGTGCAACAACTCATAATATGATTCTGATTTTTAATGCTGATGTTAAATAATGATGTATATCGTGTAATATCAACTAATAATATTATCAATTTAGTATTCTTTTATTAATAACGAACTCCACTCAATTATATTGTTACAAGTTCAAATGATTTTGTTGAATGAAATGCTATTATTGTTAGAATTATTTGGAATAGAGAAATATATATATATAGTTTAGAGGCATAAGAAATATTATTTTTCAAGTGTTTATTTAACACGTAAACAATAATTTCAAAATACAACTAAATCTCCAAATTCTTTAAAAAAAAACATATAAGAAAAAATACTTTTAAGTTTTTGAATTAAACTAAATAATTGTTATCGAGTTAATTCTAACATGTCAAGTACCAATCTTTTAATATTATAAATATCCGTTTATTGGAGAACCATCAAGAGGCCAACCAAGTAACCTACTTCGAAAATCAACCACTCTTGCAATCGTTTAATTTATTATTATGCTACAAAAATCCACCTTTATAAATACTTTGAAGAGTATTTTTTTTTTCAATATGAGTATAGATTTTTTTTCTCATTTAATAGTTTAGAAATAAGAAATTTTATAGTATTTAATAAAAGAGAGAGAAATATATAAAAAAGAGAGAAATAAAAAAAATTAAAAATAAAAACGAATCTTAGTTGAAATATTGTTATCAATTGTAGCGGATCGGAATATATATATATATATATATTTTTGTGTCTCTTTCTTGAAAAAAGTTACAAAAATATTAGTAGTTATTTTTTAATATTTTTAAAAATTATATGAAATAACATTGTTAACACCAATAACGTCATACAAAATATTCATGACTATATTTAATAAAAAAAATAATATGTAGTAGTTCTTTTTACAAATATAAAATGGTACTCTACGAATAATTGTTTTTTGAAAAATAAAATATAAAAAGAAAATATATTTGTACCCAAAATTTTGAATTAAGATTATGATAAGTTTCGTGACTTAAAAATTTTTAAATAGTCTAAATTTGTGCTAAAACATTTAACAAATTTTTAAATCTGTTTTTTTTTTTTTTAATGTTTAGAAATCAATAATGCATGAATCATGATACAAGATGAAAGAAGAAGAGCACCCACACAACCAACCAAAATAAGAAAAAGCAAGGGCAAGTTAGTCATATTATGTGTAAAAGCCGCAATTAAAGAGGACGTTTTTTGAAATTCGAGGTTAGGTAGGCGTTCTAGTCTAGTAACTTGTCGGAGCTGCGGGTCCCACAAAATGAAAAAAAATAATCAATAATTATTTTTTTTGAGCCGACGCTAATTTTGATGAGTAAATTATAAACTAGCCCCTTTAGTTTTAACAAATGAATTGATTAGTCTTTACTGTTTGAGAAATTAATTATTTAGTTTTTGATATTTTTAAATTTCTTGTAACTTAATCCTTCTTATTTTTTTAACTTATATTTATTTTATTTATAAAAATTAAAAATTAAAAAAATGATTTTTTAAAATAAAATAATATTAAATTAAATATGATCAATAATATTAAGGGACTAATTAATTAATTTTTTAATTAAAAGGACTAATTAATCATTTCTCAAAATTAGAAAGACCAGTATATAATTTGCTCTAGTTTTGATTTAATTTCAGCCTCAGCTCACGCTTTATGAGGCTGGTGCGAATATGTGACCGTTAGCCGGTCATGGTCTCCAACTAGCCGTTAGCAGGTGCCAGCTTGATTTAAATGATCCTTTTCTTTTTTTCTTTTTTTTTCTTTTTTCTCTTTTAGTTTTAAGAAATAAATTAATCAGTCTTTTTTATTTTGAAAACTAATATTTAATAATTTTAATCAATGTTAAGCATATTTAATTTAATATTATTTTTATTTCACAAGATCACTTATTTTCTCATTATATTTTTTATTTTTAAAATAAAAAATCAAAATAAATTATAAAATAACAAAAAAGATTAAATTACAAGTAGTTCTAAAATATGAGGACTAGCTGATTAGTTTTTGAATGAAAATGATTAATTAATTTGTTTCTCGAAATAAGAGAGATTAATTTATGATTTATTTCATTTATTCATAATATTAGCCATTAGCAGGACCAGCTTGATTTGAATTATGCTCTCTTTTTTATGGTATGGGAAGAGATGAATTCCGAGTAAATTATAAATTAGTCATTCTAGTTTTAAGAAATAAATTAATCAATCATCTTTGATTTAAAAATTATTATTTAATCATTTAAACAATTTTTATCGTTTTTAATTTAATATTATTTTTATTTCATAAAATCTTTATTTTCTTATAATCTTTTCATGTTTTTTTCTTTTTCTGTTTCTCAAAATAAAAAATTAAAATAAATTATATATATTAAAAAAAAAAAGCAAAAAGGATTAAACTACAACTAGATTACAAAATACAAGGACTAAATGATTAATTTTTGAAATAAACAAGATTACTTAATTCTTTTCTTAAAATGAGATGGACTAATTTATAATTTATTCCATGTATTCCAAATGCAATGATTTATTTATTTATTTATTTTAGGTACTACATTATTAGGATTGGGGTTGATGGATAGATAGATGACTCATCCTGTCTGTCCAGACATGGGTGGAGTTTAGGAAGGGATTTTTGTATAAAATTCCAACATGTTTGTGTTTTTGTGTCATCATATCTTATCCTTATCCTAATAATGAGGTTAAAGAAGTTAATGGTTTTAATGTTCATGGTTGTCCTTTTATTTTGTTTATTGAAATTCAAATTGTAAAGATTTAGTTTGGATGATAGGTGACGATTTTGTTCTTTATTAATCGATCGGAATTTGATTCTCTAAAAAATATTTTTATTTTATAAATACGCCTATTTGAATATAAATGATATGTTAAAATCCGATTAAAGAATGATTTAATCTTGAAGAAAAACCCTCTTTTTTTCGCATTGTATTGAATTGCTAAAAGATAGGTTCGGCAAAAATATATGTTCCGATAGCTATCCGATAGAACTCGATTCGATAAGAGAGGATACGAATTTTTATCTCGATAAAAAAGCATAAATGAGAATAGAGAACATACCATTTACCCGTAAAGAAATAGAATATATATATATTTGAGTACGGGGAGATAGCAATCTCAGATTTAAAAATTATTATCTTTAAAGAAATTTGGATGAATTTTATTTAAAAAAGCTTAGATTTGGATTATGGATATAAAAGGAATTAGGTAGCTTGTGATGGATATTACAAGAGACATAAAAGTAAAGGAACCATATGGATTTCTATTTCTAATATTTACTCAATTCGTCTACATTTGTCAATGCATGTTAGATTAACCACTAATTCTCTAGTTTCATGTCTTTATATGATGGCTTCTTGTTTTTTTGGACTCTGAGTTATACTAAGCCCAATAATCCAAACTAATTTCTGAAAAGTACAATATTGGATAACTATCCAGTGAATTTTTTTAAATACATAAAGATTTGAATCTAAAATCACTTACTTAAGTAATTAGAGTCTTTTCTGCTCAAACTAACTTGCTTGGGTGCTTCTTGTTTTCATTTGACTCTCGTTACGCCTTCAAAAAAAAATTGAGTTGATACTCAGAATTAGTTCTTGTTGATACGGTTTTTTTTTTTTTTTTTTTTTTTTAACAGTAAGTACAAACTTCAAACTTGGATTATATTATAAATTAGTCCCCCTATTTTCAAAAAAAATTAATTAGTTATTTTTATTTAAAAAATTAACTATTTAGTTTTTTAATATGTGTTGACTTCCTTAACTTAATATTACTTTATTTTAAGAAAAAAAATTCCTCATCAATATTTTCATATTTTTTTACTTATTTTTTCTCTTTTTTTTCTTGAATAAATAATCAAAATAAATTGAAAAGGAACAAAAAAGATCGAGTCACTAGAAAATTTAAAAATATAAAGACTAAATATTTAGTTTTTGAAATAAGTACTAATTAAGTTGTATATATATAAAAAAGATTTTTCTAATATACTCTTCAAACTTGGCATTGTTTTATCAAAAAAAAAAAAAAAAATTCTTAGTCTGGGAAATGGATGCTAGCTAATTAATTTTGCCCACAAAATATTTTGACTTTTTTGTCTTTGAAATTATTTGCAAACAATTTGTTTTTAAGGATCTCATTGGTCTAACAGTCGAGTAAAACCATATATGTACATATAACTCAATTCACCTTCTAAGTAGGTCAAACACAGATCATTCGGGCCTTACTTCAAGAATTGAGGAGAAAAATTTTATGACTTAACTTGTCAAAATTTGGATTGAATTTTAAAAGAGTTGACTTTATTTTTTATTGAATTGCTATAAGATAGGTTTGGTAAAAATATCTGTCCCAATAGCTATTTGATAGAACTCAATTCAATAAGAGTGGATATGAAGAGTATTTTTATCTTGATAAAAAAACAAAAATGAGAACAGAGAACGTATCCTTTGCCTAGGGCTGGCTTCATAATATATGTCACCCTAGACAAAATAATATTTTCTTGACAATTTTCAATTATATTTTCATTTAAATATTTATCTTATTCTTTTAGTATTTAAGGTTTAATATTAGTAACAAATCTATCAAGAGCACCTTTTTGAGATTGAATTAGTTATTCTACCTTTCTTTTTTTCTTACATTTTTCATATACAGATTCATATTTTCTAATAGACATTTTATTCAAATAATAAAATTAAAATATAATTATAAAAAGAGTAAGAAACTTTGGCACTCGATTATATTTGCTTGTCACACCTAATCAAGTAAACTCGAAGAGAATCACATGAGAAAATTTAAAAAAAAAATTTGAGAAAAAAATAAAATATTATATGATTTATATACATAATTTTATTTGCATAAATTAAAAAATTACCTTCGATTCTTCCGTCAAGCTAATTAGAAAAAGGTTTTATAAGAGATCTCCGATTGTTTGAAGAAAAAAAGAAATATAATAACAAATTTTGGAGATCTAAAAATTTGTTCACTTTCAAATATTTTTTTGAAACTTTTCCGTAAGTAAAAGTGTCTCACTAAAATAAAAGTTGAAAGCTTTTATATGTAGAAGGTAACTAAAAAGACATCTAGAAAAGATAGAATTTTTAACATTGAAATAATAATATCTCCGAACAATAGAAGCTTTTTAATGCGGGAACTCTAGTACCCATGACCTGTTAATAGAGAGAAGAATGATGTCTCATACTTAAGTGGAGATTGCATTTTCTAATTTATCTCATTCTTCATAGGTGTAGGTTTATGGTAAAATTTTAATTGGGACATCCTTTTCTATGAGGGCCCTAGACATAGGCCCTAATAGCTTATGCCTTCAGCCGGCACTGCCTTTGCCTATAGAGAACACAAAAATATATATATATATATATATATATATTGTTTTTTAGCTTTTGTCATGCATATTTCTTGAGTAGCTATTTTTTTACAATAAATTTATTATTAGATTTATATTTTAATTATTTATATTTAACCATACATGAGAGTGACGGTGAAATTCAATTTTTAAAAAGGCTTAATTTTTTTCATTGAATATTAACTATTAAATATTAATTTTAAATATAAAAATTATATATATTTTTATTTAACTATTAAATAAGAGAAAAATTTCCTTTCACCCCGAACCGATTTAAGTGAAGCGGAGACAGAGAAGCTATAACTCATCCGAAATCCGAATTCACTCTATTGTCGTTCCTACTAAAAAGAGATAAACTGGGGAAAAAAAAAAAAAAAAACAACAACAACAACAAATTCAATTATAAATTGGAAGAGAAGAGAGCACGTGCAACCTCCAAACCTAACCACGAAATGGCAGTTAGGACCTTAAATTTGGTGGTAGGTACAGCAACTAACGTGACTCTTTCTTTCCTCTACAAAAAGGCCCATCACAGCATTACTCCTACTTCATAGCCATTACTTCGATCTTCTTTTGCTTACAGATTCAGAAAAAAATCCATAAATGGCAACTGCCGAAAATGAAAAGAAGATGAAGATACTGTGTCTCCATGGATTTAGGACCAGTGGAAGCTTTCTTCAAAAGCAAATTAGCAAGTGGGATCCTTCTATCTTTTCTCAATTTGACTTGGTATGTGACACACTCCACCTTCTTAACATAGTCTTGTGTTCTCTTTTACTTTCATGATACCATGTAACTGGTTTGGTCTAACGATAAAGAAATTATTTTGATTTAATTAAGATTAAAATTTAATTTTTATTATCTATAGGTAATTAGATATAATTATTCTTCTAAGAAAGAGTCTAATAATAGATTAAAAGCTAAGCATATTCTGATATTGACTTAAGTTACAAAATAATAAATTTAATTTCGATTGATGTAAAATTTAGTCCGAAAATACCCAACTACTGTAAATGTGTAAAAAATGAGTTTACGAAATTGGTTCCCAGTTAGTACTACTCAGCATACACCATTGTACAGGATTTTCCTGATGGGATATTTCCTGCTGGAGGCAAATCTGAAATAGAAGGCATCTTCCCACCACCATACTTTGAGTGGTTCCAGTTCAACAAGGTAACTTAAGTTTCGAGTAAATTATAAATTAGTCCCTTATTTTTATAAAATGAATTAATTGATCCCTAGTTATTTAGTTTTCTGATTAGTGTTGATCACGTTTAGTTTAATATTATTTTATTTCTAAAATATTATGTTTTCTCATTAATTCTTTCATATTTTATTTATTTTTTTCTAGTTTTCTATTTTTTAAAATAAAAAATCAAAATAAATTAAAAATATATAAAAACTAAATAATTAGTTTTTGAGACAATAGGACTAATTAATCATTTCTTGAACTAAATGGACTAATTTATAATTTAATCTTAAGATCTCTCCTTTTTTTTTCTTTTTTTTTTTTGACAAGCAAGATAATATGCCATGGGAAAAGAAAATTATTTGGCTTCAAATTCTACATATACATGTTAGTAAATGCTTAAGTTACAAATAAATAAATAAAAATATATTAATTCTTTCATAAATTAGTTAGTCCTTTTATTTTTTGAGAAATAAATTAATCAGTCTTCTTTATTTCAAAAATTAATTATTTAATTTTTAGCAAAATTAATTTAATATTATTTTATTTAAAAATTTTCATATTTTTTCATTCATTCTTTTATTTTTTTTACATTTTTTCTTTTTTTCTGAAAATAAAAAATCAAAATAAATTGCAAAATGATAAAAAAAATGATTAAATTACAAAAAAAATTAAAAATATAAAAACTAAATAAGAAGTTTTTCAAACAAATAGGACTAATTAACTAGAGAGATTAATTTGTAAGCTACTCTTAAGATCTCTCCTATTTTTTGAAAAGCAAGATAATATGCCTGCCAAAGGAAAAGAAAATCATTTTTGTTGCTTCAAATTCTACATATACATAATATTATTAGTAAATGCTGACATATGCATTATTAACCAGGACTTTACAGAATATACAAACCTTGAAGAATGCATCTCTTATTTGTGTCAATACATCACAACTAGAGGTCCTTTTGATGGTTTGCTCGGCTTCTCTCAGGCATGACTCCGTATTCTCCTCCCATCCGACTAACATATAGTATTAAATTTTCCAACAAGTCCCTTGTTTTTTTTTTCTTTTTTTACCTCCAGGGTGCCACACTCTCAGCCCTTCTACTTGGCTATCAAGCTCAGGTACCTTACCTTTCTTGCTTTATATATATATATATATTGGAGGGTCTTATCATAGTTTTAAATCTTGAATGAAAAAAAGATCACGATCGTTATTGTGGATTATGGTTTACTATAATATTAAAATAACGATAAAGAGATGTTTCGAAACTATTACATGATGACCGTTATATAATGTTAATTATGGGTTTGATGATCCTAGAGGAAACATTGAAAAAGGCAAATGTTGTGATGAAGCAGGGCAAAGTGTTGAAGGAGCATCCACCTTTTAAACTGTTTGTGTCAGTATCTGGGTCCAAATTCAGAGATCCAAGCATATGTGATGTTGCTTATAAAGACACCATTAAAGTAAAGTCAGTCCACTTTATAGGGGCAAAAGACTGGTTGAAAGAACCTTCAGAGGAGCTTGCCACCGCCTTTCAGAACCCTCTCCTCATAAGACATCCACAAGGCCATACCGTCCCTAGACTTGGTAGGTTATGCTGCTTGATTTTTCACTCTGATTAAATTTCTTCAATACCTTTTATGTTATGACGCAAAAATTGTTCATTTGCATGATCAATTGTCTATGTTACAACACAGATGAGGCAACAACAGAGCAGCTACGTGCTTGGGCCACAGACATCCTCAGTTACGATAAGAAAATTAGAAATGGTGGAAGTCGTGAATTGGAGAATGGAGAGACTAAAGAGGACGTGGAAGTAAAGCCAGGAGAGGTCTCTAACAAGATCGATATTATTCAAGATCAGCAACATGATGGAGTTGAAACCAAACGAAAGAAAGAAGTTGAAGTTATGGCAGTCTGAAGGCATCAAAAAGCAAATAGCCTACAGGCAATAAAAAGGCAACATTGTTTAGCCCTGTAATGGTTACAAATTTAGAACTTGTTTGTTTCCCGTTAAAAGAAAACATAAGCCTTCGAGAAAGGAAAGTGTTTCCCTAAATTCTTTAAGAACGTATCTTTTACATCGATCTTTTACTTGCGAAATTAATTTGCTCCTTTGGTCCTTTTACTTTTTAGAATAGATTATTAGGTGTTTTTATTATCTTAAAATTTTATCTTGACGAGAGCAAGTGTTTTATTCTTTCTTAAAGATAACATTTGATATTGATGATAAGAAGTAAAATACATGTACTAATTCATATTCTTGCGGCATTACTAATATGCGTGAAGCATGATTTTAGGTGTAAAGACATAAAATTTAAATTGGTTGCAAAATAGTAAAATTGCTTTTAGCATAATCTTCAAGTATGTTTTAGCTATAAAAGTATGAGTTGCATGTGTGGGATTTTGATTTTTTTTTTTTCTCATTTCTCTTCAAGTCTTTTACCTAAATTTAAAAGGTTTTATTTTATTTTTTTGTATGCTCTTCAAGTACATCAAAATAATGGAAACTAATAACTGTAAGGCAACAATTATTAGGTAATTGATCCATTTCAGTCTTACACAAGATGGTTCTATATGATATTTGAAAGTTAGATGTTGCTATATTATAATTTGAATTGCTGGAATTCCTCCAACATAAAAGATTTGAGGAAACAAAATACCACACAATATTATTTTATTAATTGTAAATACTTATATATCCCTTATAACTCTTTGAACATAAAATGATTAGTTTTGATACACAGGATCTACTAAAGAGCATACTTTAAAAACTATTTATAGACCATCAGCCACTAGTAAATCCCACTTTCTTGAGTTTGGAGAAACATGCACGATAACATTGTTAGGATGGTTGAGCAATAAATGTTTTGTTGGTGAATGTGGTGTGAGCGAGTATTGTGTAGCTAGTCCTCTGTTTTAGTGTAGAAAAATTAGTAGATCTTCATTGATGAGTAGCGACCCGACCCACAAAGGTCAAAAGAAAGCTTCCTCGTGATGCATCAATTCCCAACTATTGTCATCAGATTTATTATTGTACAGTTTCTAGGTGACAAGCGAGCTATAATGAAGTGATAAGGAAAGACATGAGATTTTGCCACCTAGTTTCAAAATTTTGAAGATTGATGCCATGTAGGCCCATTAACACATGTATAGGATACCATTAGAAACAATGCTAAGTTTTGCAACATATACAAGAGGGTCACAAGGGGAATACCAAAATTGGGTAGTCCAAGGTCAAATCCTTGAACAAAGAGTAATTTATGGGCAGTTTTTCATATGGAAACCTATTTGGAAGCTTAGAATTTCTCCACTCTTTCAGTTCTCAAGCAGTGCAAAGAGAACTCAGATAACCAACAATGTCCTCTTAGCTTAGTGTAGAGAAACAAAGAAATTTAAAGGGAGATGAAGATTTTAACCATAGCTTCTTAATTCCTATCCACAGTTAATAGTTAATAGAAGGTTAATTTGTGTATTTTCTATTCAATATTGAAAAAACGTATTAATATGATTAAAAATTATAAAATTTGTGCTTTTTGGGTACAACAAGTCTAATTAGATTTGACTTAACTAAATTTCTTGTTATTTTATTTAAATTCAATAGTTTTATTGGTATTTGTATTTTTATAAGGGCAAAGCTTAAGTTTATCTCCAAACTATTGAATTAATATCAATTTTATCTTCTAATTATTTTGATTTTTCAATTAAGGACTTATGTTAGAATTACTTAATTAGAGTGTTAAGTCCCCTAAAAATTATATCATTTCTTACCAAAAAAAAAAAAAAAGGATGGAAAGTTTTAAAATATTTAAAAGTTTTTAATTAAGAATTTATGAAAATAAATTTGAACCCAAAATTTTGAATTAAGATTATGTTAAGTTTTGTGACTTAAAATTTATAAAAAAAAATTTCTGAAAAACAATTTCCGGTGTTTGGTGAAATTCTGTAAAATAAGTCAGTGGAAAATATGTAATTCATTGAAAATTTGTATTTAAGTATTTAATTTAAGTCAATAAATAATAATTAAGTTGCATTTTATTAGAGTCATGGAATATTTGTATTTAAGTATTCCATTTAAGTTATGGAAAATGCTTTTTATTTTGCATTACAATATCGATCCATCCAAAACTTTGAAGATTTGACAAAAATTCTCTATAATATCCCAAATGTCCTTAATAACGTACTATTTAGGGGAAAAAAAAACAATGAAATTCAGAAATTTAAAAAATTAAAGAAAGAAAAACAAAACAAAATTGAATGAAATTAAGTAATAAAATTAATATCGTTGATGTACTAAAAAATATAATAAACTTATTCATTTTATCAAATTTTATTTTCCAATGGATAAATGAGGTTTTAAGAAAAAAAATTGATAACTAAAAGATTCTACAATTTTAAAAAAGATTAATAACTCATAATGTTATTTACTTTTAACTCCTTTTCCATATCGTAAAATTTTGATTATTGTTGGCGATTAGGGTGTGTCTTGATAGAATCAAAGGCTCTTGGATCGCAACCAGCTTGATTTCTTTTTTATTTCTAGCAAGTTTTTTAGATAATAGTAAAATCTGAGAATTATTTTATATTAGTGGGCAAAGAATCTAATACGGGCCAGGTATTAGACCATGGACTTGCATTCTGGTTATTGGGCTTAATAGTTTTCATTTTCCTACCATTTAATGGACCCATTTTGAGCCTATACTAGTAAATGCTAATTTTACCGATCCTGGTTTTTTCGTTGATAAATGGACCGCACCGCAACCCAATGCATAAAGAAGAAGGCCACGTACCACTCAGCCACTAAGCCCATAAAGTTGGGCCTGGGTAAATTGTAAATCCAGTTCGGGCCTATGTATAAATTTTCTGATAACTAGTCCAAAATACAATTAAAAACGCACGACGTCGTTTTATTCATCTTCTATCCTTGCAAATCAGCTTCAAGGACGAAAACCAGACCAGAGATCTAAAATAAAAACAAAAGAACTTCAAAATTCAACCATTGTAATCGCTTTAGCAGCAGAAGCAGAAGAAGCAAGATCAAACCGTCGTTAAATCTCGCAAATCCGCTGCGTTCTGGACGCAGCAAATGGCGACAACGACTGAGGTCAGTCACTGCTTTTTTTAAGCAATCAAATCCATTTCTCTGTTCATGAGATCTAACAAAATCCGATTTCTGTTCTTTTTTTTTGTCAAATTTTGCAGGCGCAATCAAATAATGAAATTGCAAAAAATGTGTTTGATTTAGGAGCTTTTGTTGGTGATTTAGGCGCTATTGAAGATGATGCCGCCAGGTAAACACCAAAAAAGTTGTGAATTAACAAAAATATTAGATATATTTGTTTTAATTATGTATGTTTTGTTTATGTAGTGATGATATATCATTAGAAGGACTTGAGCAAGAACTAGAAGAATGCAAGAATGATGATGTAAGCAAATATTTTTTATTCCTTTCTTATTAATGTTTTTAGAGTGAGTTGTCGATTTATGTTTTTTTTTTCCGATTTTTTTTTTACTGTTTGATGTGTAGGTAGTTACGAATATACTGTCGAAGGGGACGAAATTGAGGGATCATACGAAAGGAGTTGAGAATAATTTACGGCAAGTTGAGTTGGACTCGATTCAGGTTGGTGGTTAGTTCCTGGTAATTTTTGTAGTATGTTTTTATGCATTGATGTGTAATTATGTTCTGAAATGTTGCAGGATTATATAAAAGAAAGTGATAATTTAGTGTCTCTCCATGAGCAAATTCGCGATTGTGATACCATCTTGTCGCAGATGGAGACTCTGCTTAGTGGATTTCAGGCATGATTGTAAATTTGTGCAAATTTGTTTGAGATGATTGTGTTATATGAATGTATATGAATTGTCTTTTTGGTATGTTGGAAAAGGTTTTTGTCTGTGGTGGATTTGGATTGTAATTCTTGCAACTGAATTGTGTTTCATTTTGAATTTTTTGATAGGGTGAGATTGGTTCTATAAGTTCAGACATTAAGATTCTCCAGGAGAAGTCTATGGATATGGGTCTGAAGCTGAAGAATCGTAAGGTATGGTGTCTTTTTTGCTAGCAAATTTGTCGTTCACATCAGTTCATTGTTTGCCTTGGTTTTGGAGAATCACATTTTTTCCATGTTTTAGATGCTGATTATGGTGCTGACTTGTAGTTCTCTTCACTCAGTACAAGAAAGGAGGGATTAATGGTTTTGTTTTTGTTGTTGTTCATGGTCTGGGAAGAGAGATAGCTTGTTAAGATAACAAAAGGATCTTAAGGTGTTACGACTTTGCAGTTTACAAACCCTTTTTAGTTCTTTGGAAATATTACTTTTCTTGGATTTCTAGTCAATACATTAAGTATGATGGTTCTTTTGAGTTGTTTAGCATGTTGCTGTTATCAATGTTATGCACTGCTGGCATCAGCTTGTACATATCTGACTGGGATTCTGCCATTCTGGTAGCTAGTATTTAGTTGTCATTCTCATATGGGCATGTGCGCTTTAAGTTCGCATATTGCCTCTAAGCAATACTTTACTCCAAGCTAAAAGTTCACATCTACAAGCTAATGTTTTAATGGATTTTTTCTCTAGATGTCTGTTATCTTATGTTTCTGTTTTACCTAAACAGGCGGCTGAATCAAAACTGGCAAGATTTGTTGAGGACATTATAGTCCCTCCCAGAATGGTAGACATAATTGTTGATGGAGAGGTATTTCTGATTTATGTTCCCTCCTTTTTTTTTTTAGTGAAAAAGGGGTAAAAGCTTGCACTCTATTTTGCTGATTTTTGATTTAGTCAATTCATGTGGAGTTTGTTGTATTTGCTCTTGTTCATCAGCACTCATATACGTGCAGTGGAACTCTTTTTTCAGGTTAACGAGGAGTATTTGAGAACTCTTGAAATACTTAGTAAGAAGCTGAAGATCGTTGAAGCAGATCAATTGATTAAAGGTTCTAAAGCTCTAAAAGATGTTCAGCCCGAGCTTGAAAAGCTTAGGCAGAAAGCAGTTTCAAAGGTTGATAACTCTACTAGATGCTTGATGGTGTTGATTAGTTAGTAATTTGCATAATTGTTCGTTGAAAAGTTATTCCTCAAATGAATTTTTCTGCAAAATCTTTTATTGTTAGTAGCCTGTCATAGTAATGTTTACAATGATACAATATTATATTTATATTTTTGCAGGTGTTTGACTTCATTGTTCAGAAACTTTATGCTTTGAGAAAACCCAAAACAAATATTCAGATCCTTCAACAGAGTGTTCTTTTAAAATACAAGTGAGTTGTGTATCCTTAGTGGTGCTTATGCAGTATGTGTTCTCATGTTTACATTTTAGTCCATGATTTGCTACCTGTGTGCTTGTTATAGTCAACTAAATGGTTGGATGAAATTGTAGGTATGTCATTTCCTTCCTCAAGGAACATGGCAAGGAGGTATATATTGAGGTTCGTGCAGCATACATCGACACAATGAATAAGGTGAATGCGTTAGAATTTCCTCTGCTTTTGAATACAGACTTTCTAGGACTCTTATACCCCCTCTTTTTCATTCTCTTTCATTCGTTGTTCAGTGGAGTGCATCACTTTTTTTTCTCATTATTTCTAACATGAGATTATCTGGAAGATATCTAGAGACTATAAGCTGTAATTGTAAATGTGATTTTGATCTACTGCAGTAATGAGTAATGACCTTGGTTTTCCAAATGGGGTACATACCTTGATTATTTTAATTTCGTTTCAATGCTACTGACATTATACCTAATATGTCTTACTTTTATGTATCAGACGACTACAGTTTAACACCTAATTCAATTTTTGTGTGCTTTTAAGGGTTGTGTAATTTAAATTCCAAGTTACCATGGTGAAAATATATGCATGAGTTTTCATGTTCTACTGGGCTTCCTGCAGGTACTAAGTGCGCATTTCCGTGCTTATATTCAAGCATTGGAGAAATTGCAGTTAGATATAGCAACATCTAGTGATTTGATTGGTGTTGATACAACCAGAAGCACTGGTCTTTTCTCAAGTGCAAGAGGACCACTGAAGAATAAATCAGCTGTATTTGCTCTGGGGGAGAGGATCAACATTTTGAAGGTGTTTTGTTTTGTTTTTTTTTTTTTTAAATTTTATATATAGTTCTTTTCAACTGGTTTTGAAATATTAATTTCTATCATTCTTTGTAATAATTTTTTTAGGATACTTGCCTCATTTATGGCACAGCATGTTTCTTTTTAGATGGCATTCTTTTTAGCCAAACTGGATTCACCATTAGAGCTTTAATGGTTTCAGGAGATGGATCAACCAGCATTGATTCCCCATATAGCTGAAGCCAGCTCCCAAAAGTACCCTTATGAGGTTCTTTTCAGGAGCTTGCACAAGCTGCTAATGGATACTGCTACTTCTGAGTATGCTAGACTTGCTCTGCTCCATGATTTTGTTTTCTAGTGATAAGTAAATGCTAAATCCAAGCATGCAAGAATTTCAACAACGTCATTCTGCAGGTATCTTTTCTCTGATGATTTCTTCGGGGAAGAATCCATTTTTTATGAAATTTTTTCAGGTAATTGCAAAGGACTTTCTTAGTAAATTGTAGTATAAATTATTTCCTGCACAAAATGCTGAAATGAATTTTGTTGGAATTCAATGGTTACATGTGCTTGTAGGATTGTACACCATATTAACACAAAATGCTTGGGTGACAAAAAGGTCCCATTAGTTTTGGTCCAAAATAGAACATAGAGGGAAAGGATTCATGTAGGTCATGCCAAGGACTTGGGGATAGAGGTTAAGATTCATGTAGGTCATGCCAAGGACTTGGGGATAGAGGTTAAGATTCATGTAGGTCATGCCAAGGACTTGGGGATAGAGGTTAAGTTGGGATGAGTTGTACTACTATTATTGTGCTGTATTCTGTCCGTTGAACGAGATTCATCCATGATTTGTTAGTTTCAAAATTTATCAGTTGTTATTGCTTTGTGCAGGAAAAAGAAATTTCTTTACTCTCAACTTCAAAAAGTTTGTGTAGTCTGTTGCTAATATGGAGAGAAACTAACCACTTTTAATTCATTTCTGTAATTTCATCAGGCCCATTTGCTGTTGTTGATGAACACTTCAATTCAATACTACCTAACTGTTATGATGCCATAGGCCTAATGCTAATGATTCGCATCATACACCAGCACCAGGTCAAATCTCTTTCCATAATTACCACTGCAGTTTGTTCAAATTCACTTTTCTTAAGAAATCTGATTTTTATGTATAATTGTTATACGACTACATTACTTTTTGTGGTATTTTAGTTTGAATCTTGGCTTGCTTTGATCATTTATGTGCTTTGTTTGATGTTTGGCTTCTTTGGCTCAAACAATGAGAAAGAAAGAACATGTATAAAAGTGCCAACAGATTGGTATGCTTGCTAGGAATTCATCTATTGCTGATATCTGGTTTCACTTTTCAGCTCATTATGTCTCGGCGGCGGATTCCATGCTTGGATTCATATTTGGACAAGGTATGCTGTTTTCTGATAAAGTTGGTTCCTTTCATGTGTCCATATATGTAGTTACATTTTGACATGTTGTAAGTGTAGCTTTTAGAATTCATATGGGTCTTTGGAGCAAGTAGGATCTATATTGGGCAGGTTGATACTATAATACATTCTGCTGCACAGCAGCAAGTTTTTAACATACCTAATGACAAATGTGATCTAATTCCTCTTAATTGAGCAGGTCAACATTTCTTTATGGCCTCGTTTTAAGATGGTATTTGACTTGCACCTTAGCAGCCTCCGTAATGCAAATGTGAAGACGTTGTGGGAAGATGACGTCCATCCTCATTATGTCATGAGGCGTTATGCTGAATTTACAGCTTCACTTATTCACCTTAATGTTGAATATGGAGATGGGCAGGTTGGATATGTATATATTTCAGAGTTAAAGATATGAAAATATATTGAATTGTTGTTTGAACAACATTTGTTTTGTTTCTTGTTTTCCCCTAATTGTGTAATGCTTATGGTTTTGGCCTCCCAATACATGCAGCTTGAATTGAATATGGAGAGACTGAGAATGGCCATTGATGACCTGCTCATGAAGCTTGCTAAAACATTCCCAAAACCAAAACAACAAATTGTGTTCCTTATAAACAACTATGATATGACTATCGCTGTTTTGAAGGTAAATTATTACTTTATAAGATAGATTTTCACCATGAAGATCGTTATCTAGTTTTGCTGAGGACTCAAGTTCCTTGGTCACTATATAATGCCTTTTAGATTGACTGTTCTTACTCTTTGCACTGCTGTGTTCCCATCATTTGGATTTTAGGAAGCTGGCCCAGAAGGTGGGAAAATTCAATTGCACTTCGAGGAACTGCTGAAAAGCAACACGTCGTTGTTTGTGGTAAGCAGTTTCTACTGACAAAAAATTGCTTGCTTTGATGATATTCATTTAGGCAACATCTTGAAAAATGATTTTCCCCTTATTTATTGTATTCACAATAATCATATAACGGGAAGCAAAATGGGTAAAATAACTGATTAAGAGTCACGCTGAAGGTCTTGTGATATACGAACCTATCCAAGTATACTCTTTCTTTCTATAAATTAAATCCTTTCTGCCTTACTTTCCTACTGGAATTCTGTTGGCACTTTGTTTATTGTCCTCTCCCTGCAGGAAGAGTTGCTACTAGAGCATTTTAGTGACCTAATCAAGTTCGTGAAGACCCGAGCCTGTAAGTTTATATTTCAACATATTACTTGTAAGATTTCAACATTCATTTCATTATTTAAGGAGATGACCTCACTTGCAAGTTCTATGTCAGCGGAGGAACCGGGTTCAAGTACTGAGAAGCCCATAACCGTTGCTGAAGTCGAGACAATTGTGAAGGATTTTGCAAGTAGATGGAAAGCTGCAATAGAGCTGATGCACAAAGATGTTATCACTTCTTTCAGCAACTTCTTATGCGGTATGGAGATCTTGAGAGCTGCATTGACACAGCTCCTGCTTTATTATACCAGGCTCTCGGACACGATAAAGAAGATTGTCGGTGGGTCTGCGCTGAACAAAGATCTTGTGTCTATATCCTCAATCATGTACGAAATCAGGAAGTATTCAAGGACTTTCTAGATCATTGATGTTTTATTGGCAACAAAATGTCCCGTGAAGCCCACGAAATTGAAAGAGCAAGCATGTATTGTCTGCCCTGAAAAGTACTTTTGGACTTTGGAGAGTATTAGACAACTGAACTTGCACAAAAACAAGCGTTAAGGAAATTTCTTCACTTGGTTCATTCTCAGTCCACACCATCTTGCGAAAGCTTTTACTTAATTTTGATGGTGGCAAATTCTCCTCTTCTTGCTGCAGTAAATTACATCTCCTGTATGATCCCTTAATGTAATTTTCACTGTTTAGATCGCTAAATGATTGTGTTATTGGGATATCGGTGTGTCTGAGTTGGAAACTCTATGGATTTATTGAAATTCTATTGAAAAGAGGCAGAAGTAGATATCCAGAAAAGCAAAAGCTGTGAAAATGTTTTGGATAATCATATATGCTTGTAAAATGCTTATTGATGGGCTCTCAAGTTGTAATTAGATGGGTTGCCTTTTCACTTAATTATTTCATGCTGAGGTCTGACGTGAAAAATAGTTTTTTAATTAACCTATACATCAATAGAAAATATCAATAAAAAATATTTTGTTTCCGATGACATAAATCATTAAAAGAAAGGAAGCCATTCCACAAAAAAAGGAAAAAAGAAAAGAAGAAGAAGAAGAAGAAGAAGCAGCAGCAGCAGAAGAAGATTTAGATCTCTAATTTTTCAATCAGTCTTTACATTTTAAGACACCAATTCGTTTTCTTTATTTGTATTGGTTTCTAATTTATCATTTTGGTCAAAATTTCTTATCAATTCATCAAAAATTAATATTTATATTAGTAGATATAGATAACTTATATCAAATAATAAATATAATTTTATCAAGTTATATATTATATACTAATCACATATTTTGTTTATGATAAATTGGTCAGAAATTTTAATTAAAAAATGGATTGGAAATTAACTCAAATAATAAAGACAGATTGAAAACGTTTTAAAAATTAACCTATTATATAAAGATAGAAGTAAGGGTATTAACCAAAAAAAAAAAAAAAAAAAAAAAATATATATATATATATATATATATATATATATATATATTTGGAAATCGAACTGTAGATTTAGATTCTATTCCACTACGAAGAATATTAAGAGATCGGGAACATGGATTTATCTGCCGTTAGTTTACATGAGTCACACTAAACATCCAAATATATGATCCATTAAAGTATCATCTCTTAATCCACAATGGGCTGGTCAATGGAATTGCCTTAAATTAATAATAATGATGGTTTTTTTTCCATTGTTTTGTCCCATTGAATTCTCTAACATATTTGCCCTTTTGTCATAGAAAAACAGCAAGAGGCTTGCAACTCCTAAGCTAAAACTAGAATAAATGACAACCTCGTACACCACGCTATAACTCCCAAGAAATTACCCAAGCAATTTCCACAGCCATGCATGCACAAACAATTTAACCCAAAACAAAATCCTTAACAAAAACAAGAACCCATCTTCAAAAACATAAACCCACAAAAAAAAAATTCTATCTTTTTTCAAAATGGTTTCCAGGACTCGTTTAATTGTGTCAGATTTTCTAATTTCTGTTATGTGGGTATGGTCAGGGGCTTTAATAAAAATGTTTGTGTTCAAGGTTTTGGAGATGGGGCATGATTCGAGAGGAGAATTTATGAAGAATTCTTTGTCAGTTTTGAACATGTTCGTTTTCGCATTTTTGGCTAAGGTTACTAAAGGGGCGGCTTATAATCCTCTTACTGTTTTTGCTTCTGCTATTTCTGGGGATTTCTCTCAGTTTCTCTTTACCATTGGGGCAAGAATCCCTGCTCAGGTTAGCTTCTTTTTCCCTGTAAGATGTTGATTTAGATTTTTTTGATGTACATGCGAATTGGGTTTGTTTGTTTGCTTAAAATGTTAGGGAAAATTGGGTTAAACATATTCGTTTCATTTTATTGTGTTATTGTTTATGAGTTTTTTGGGTTTCACATAATGGTTCAGCTCAAATTTTATGTTTTTTTGATTCTTGGGTCTTGAAACAATTACTACAAATTAATATGCAAAATTGAAGTTTTTCTTTGCCTGTTATTTCTTCTAAAAAAAGAAGGTCAATACCCTATTGGGAAGAACATGAATGTTAATATGAGTTCAAATTGGACTTTTCTTAAGCAAGTTTGTATTTGGTTGACTTTTGAACTGACTATGTGAGGGCTGCTTTGAACAGCTTTCCATGACTAATCCTTAAAGAGGATTCAATATTACTAGTCCCTTGATGAATAGAGTATTGATCTTGATATTTTATTTGCATATTGGATTGTTGAGTTGAGTGATCTATTAAAGCTTTTATCTTGTTCTGTGAATTGGATTGAGGTATTCTTCTGACGAGATCGCTATGGTTGTGATTTGATTATAGTGAGATCTTGATTATGGAATATATAACCAGTGAAACATTTTCCCCTCCGTTGCAATTTTTTCTTGCTAATTCTAATTATATTAGCTTAAATTGGTTTTGGTGCTAATTTCACTGTTAATAAAGTACATAGTTTTTGGAATAAGAGCGAAAAATGAGTGGTGATCAAGCACCCAAGAAGCATTCCTTTAGTTCCTTATACTTACCGTTTAGTTCTTCCTTGGGAAAGAAGTGGAGTTAATGCTTAAAGATTCTGCATTTTTTTAATGTACGCAAGCCCAAAGCAAGCCACAGTTACCCTGTCTTTCGCAATTATGCTCTTGTTTAGGGCAACCTGCAGTTTTAGAACAGAGAACTTCCAAGAGTTCCACCCTTGTGAAGCAAAACCTGGATGTGTTCTTGACAAGAGGATAAAAATTGATTGGACAAGACAATCAAATGCTTATTACCGCTGATCTGGGCATTCTGCCAAGGTGTTCTTGACAAGTAACTAGATTCTTTTGATAGAGCTATTGCCCTTGCCATTTTTCAAGGTTTCATTTAATTGATCACATATCTATCTCATTTTGGTGAACGAAGTTTGAATTTGGAATACAATGTCTTTTGGTTTATTTTTTGCTGTAGGTAATTGGATCTATCACTGGTGTTAGGCTCCTTATCGATACCTTTCCCGAGGTAGGACTTGGACCCCGTTTGAAAGTTGACATCCATAAAGGAGCTCTCACAGAAGGATTGCTGGCATTTGGAATTGTTACCATCTCTCTTGGGCTTGCAAGAAAGATCCCTGGAAGTTTCTTCACGAAGACTTGGATCTCAAGTGTTTCAAAGTTATCCCTTCACATACTTGGCTCTGATCTAACCGGCGGTTGTATGAACCCAGCCTCTGTAAGTCATGCTCACATCTTTTAGTTGCAAATAATAATGCATGTATCTTAAGTTTGTTTTAGCTTCAAGAAGGGTTGGATAGAGATGACCTGAACGGCTCAACCTTTTTAAAATCTGTAGGTGATGGGATGGGCTTATGCCCGTGGGGATCATATAACCAAGGAGCATATTCTCGTGTATTGGCTTGCCCCAATAGAGGGAGCTCTGCTGGCGGTATGGACATCTAAGTTGCTATTTCGGCCCCAAAAACAAGACGAGAAAGAAAAGTTGAAGGGCAAAACAGAATGAAGAAATGCCTCTGAACTTTTCAGTTAAAATTGTACTTTTCAGTTAAAATGTAAAAAAATAATACAGAAGGAATTCACTGTAACTATATTCATTTTTGTGTGAAATATCTGTTGATATCTGCTTCATTCCTGTCTTCTCTCCGACTTGCTCGTCACACGTCTAGACTTACAAGTTTAGGTTAGATCATAGTTTTAAATAATGAACGGTTTTGAAAAAACGATGATGGAATTCGATCACAAGTCATGACTTATTGAAGTCATAGTTTTAAATAGCAGTCGTGAGCATAGATTGAAGTAGTAAAATAACGATCGCGACAACCGATGTCGTGAATATATTAGTAACTATTAATAAGTTTATTCTAATTCATATATTTTTAATAGTTTTATTAATCAAGTATACTAATAAGTAAAAACATTTCTAATAGTTTAATAGCATACAATAATAGTTAAATTTATTACAAAAAATAGTTAATAACACTTCTAATAGATAAATATCACCAAAAAAAAAAAAAACATTACAATTTCAATAAACACATTACAAAATATTCATCTTTAAAATAATCATAATAATAGCTATTATTTTGTTATTGATTTTGTGATTTTTGTTTATCAAAGTTACAACAATAACTAGTTTTGAAAAACAAATTAGAAAATAATATAAAATTAAAAAAAAATAATAAGTTTTTAAAACAATAAAGACCACCTAATTTATTTTCTCAAATTAAAAGGACTAATTTATAATTTATTCAATTAAAGCAGCATTTGCTTTTCAACCTTTGAATTTGTATATGCAAGACAACCAAAGTAGAATAATAAAAGATTAAATCATACATTAATCCTTCTAGCTTTGGTAAGTAAATAAATTAGTTTTTAATATTTAAAAATTAATTATTTAATTTTTCAATCAGTATTGATCATGTTTAAAGTTTAATATTTTATTCTATAAAATATTTTTTCATCAATCTTTTTCATGGTATAAATTTATTTTTTCATTTTTCTTTTTAAAATAAAAATAAAAATAAATTAAAAACAAAATAAATAAATTATTGATTTTTGAAATAAAAGGACTAACTAAATTATTTTTTTTAAATAAGAGGACTAATTTATAATTTGTTCAACCAAAACCAGCAAAACATGTTTTTGATATTAAAGTGCAGTGGGTCTGTTGCCTTTCAAAATGAAAGTACTTTTTTTCCAAGTTCCTCTCTATTCTCAACCAGTTTTCACCCGAATCAGTTACAGCCTAAAGCTTCTCTCTGTCTCTCTGCCTCTCGTCTCAGCCTCTCTGCCTCTCATCTCTGCTTGCTTCTTCTCTCTGCCTGTCTTCCTCTCTGCCTCTCATCCTCTCTGCTTCTCTGCCTCTCATCATTGCTTGAATTTCAACAGCTAAAATAGCTGAAAATTTCAGCTGAAATTCTGGACTTTTTTTTTTTTTTTTTTTTATCCCGTAGCATTATTGTATAACAGCAAATAGCGACGTCGGTAACATGGTTATTTGTGTGAAACGACTTCAGGAACCAATAATGTCGAATAATGATAATAAAATACCTCGTTATCGTTATATAACTACCGTTACCCTACACAACAGTGTATTTTTAAAACCATGACTGTAATAATAAAATAACGAATGATTATTATATAACGTCGAATAACAATAACGGAGCATCCTTAAACCATTAATGGCAGTCATTTAAATCTGTGGGCTCAATGCTCATAGCAAATGATGGGAATTTACAAGTCTTGGCTCAATGATCATTGCAAATAATGGGAGATATTCACCTTGAATTATTTTAAGCCTTTAATTTCGAAGTTGAGCACTGAACAATTTGATTAATTCTGTTCAGCAATACGTTGCTCATGCTTTCTGCGACTTATACATCAACTCACAGCAGCATGAGAAATTGGAAAGAAAATGGAAGTTCTCAACAAATACTGAAGGTAATAACCAAACATAAATAAATAAAACATCAAAGCCGAAGTTTAATATTTCCTTGTCCCAAGTATCACTTCCAATCACTCATTCCCAAGCAAAAATTCCACCTATGGTTTGCTTAGTTCTTGTTACTTATCCCTCCATTTGTGCAATATTGTACTCAATTAGCTTGCAAACTTCGTGTATTATAAGTTCACAACCCATATCTGTTCAGCAACATGGCATGAATGGAAGGAGAAATATAGATGGTCTCAAGACAAGAGGACCGAAACAAAGCTAATTTACATTACAAAAGGATACTAATTATATGAATGTTTCCTCAGTTTCATATGGTAAATCTAGCCATAATACATCAAGAGTGAAGACTCCTCAAGCTGGATATGAAAGGAGAAGAATGAAACTCAGTACAAAACTTATTAGTAAACAAGTTGTGGTTCAAACTCTGCGAGATCAACAGATCCAGACTCAATTGGTGGCATTAGATATGCAGCCAATATTTCAGAAACCAATGCTGCAACAAGGGGAACCCTCTTGAAGTTCTTGACCAAGGAATTGTCATCACTCTCACCAACAGCAATCAGCTTCTCGTTTATCACCACCATTCTGTCCAACTTCCTCTTGAACTCTGGGTTCTCAACGTCCAGCACAGCAGGGAAGATTCTGGCCGTTGTGCGGTTTGTCTGCACAGAGAAAATTTCAGTAACAATTGACTGTGTCGAAAATCTACGATGTTTGATCACAAGTGCAAATCCATTAGTCTAGGCTGTCAATTTCTTATCCTTCCTTTTGAGGTAATCTAGCCAAGCACGAGGAGAACTAACATTGCATCAAATGAAACATCACATTGGCTATGTGGGAACCAAGCCATGATATTCTAAGATAGAGTCCATAGTATCAATAATTCTGTATCGAGATGGAAGTAAATGGCAAAAAAACACTCAGGTTAGAATTATGTGCAAAGAGGACAGGCATAGAACATTAGCCTCACCTCAATGATGACATGCATGTCAAATTCTTTGGTATTGAGCCCAATGCCTTCATAGAAAGCAGTTCTCTGGCAATCGTTGAGGTACATTGTCACATACACCTGCAAAATCAATTCTCTACGATGTAAGAAGAGGAGGAAGTAGACATGAGATCATCCTCAAACTAGTCTTAAGACTGAAGGCCAATACTTTGGACAAGATTTTTCAATAACATCTAGTGACCAATGGTTCACTATTCACACATAAGCATTTACAGAAACATTACAGATAATTAAAATAAGGTATGAAGATGCATCTAGTGTAAGAAAGTTACCGATAGGCAGAAGAAACGTGACCACAACTTTGCCTTCCAATCGTTGAGGAACTGAGGCTGTGCCTTCATCAATGCAGAGAAGAAATCACCATGTCTGTTCTCATCCTGGCACCAGTTCTCAAAGTAATTGAAAATGGGGTAACACTGGTATTCAGGATTTTCCTTGAGATGTCTGTAAATTGTTATGTATCTCCAGTACCCAATTTTCTCAGACAAATATGTAGCATAGAAAATGAACTTGGGCTTAAAAAATGTGTACTTCCTAGCCTTTGTAAGGAACCCCAAGTCCAGTGCCAGATTGAAATCAGACAAACCCTTGTTCAAAAACCTGCATGCAAAACAACAAAGGTCAATTAAATATACAAAGGTTCAATCATTCTTGGAAAGTGATTCACATGTGACACAAAGAAGGGCAATGTTTCCACATACCCAGCATGCCTGGCTTCATCCCTGGACATGAGGGAGAAAATCTCTGCTACCACTGGATTGGTTTTCTGCATCATCATCAAATTTTGATAATATTTAATTATACTAGAAAACCAGGAACTAGATTGTGCATGAAATTAAAGTGACTTTGGAGGGATACCTTGAGTCTCCTTCCCAGCTCTTTGTAGAGAAGGAACCCAGAGAACTCAGCAGTGCAGGACCTCTCCAAGAACTCGACAAAAATCTGTCTCAAAGGCCCTTGCATCTTATCAGCAGCTTCCTTGAACTCCTTGTTTCTCACAAAGTGAGTCTGGTTGTAATCAGTCTTGAACTCTTGCAGAAGTGCTTCAAACTCAGACTGGTTCAAGTTCTTGTTAATCTCAGTGTTGAAAAGGGTCTCCATTTCATCAAAATCAGTGGTGTAGAACCTTGGCGTCAGAAGGGTGTCTTTGATTTCACCTTTGTTACCTTTCTTCTTTGGCTTTGAGCTACTTGTTGTCTGTGCAGTGGCTGACATTTTGATGGTAGTGAATTTGGGGTATGAGAAAGTTCTAGGGTTTCCAAATTTCGGTGTGCTGCTAAATTTGGAAATGGGTTTTACTAAAGCCATCTCTGCAGCCATTTTTTTCTTGGAGAAAGGTTCTTGCTTTGAGTGGCAATAGTGGTGGAAAGAAATGAGCTTCAAGCTGAGGAAGGAGGGACTAAAGGGGAAGGAAGGATAGGATTTGTCATATATAACTGGTGATTCAATCTCATCCAATGAAATCTATGAGTTTAAATGAGAGTTTGACACGTGTCAGATTCTTATAGGATTGCTTGATTACTTTCAATGGTTACGATAACTCTGATAACGCCTTTTGGATCATGGCTTGTGGTCTGTCTTTCACTACGTCAGACTCTTACAAGGAGTTCAGATTTTTATTTTTATTTTTTCAGTTTTGTTGTTGGTTAATACCGTTATCCACCAAGTCCAAGGCCTTTGTGGCATGGAATAGTTGCATTATAAATATATTAATTTTTTAAATATTTTTCAAATATTTTCGTTTAATTTCTGTTGATTACTTCGTTATTAGATAACGTTTTTTTTTTCAAACCACTAAATTATTTTTTTATTTTTATTTTATTTTTTTAGTTTTGAAGGGAATTTTTCATTTCAAATTATTTTGTCATTTTTCTGCATTTTGAATATAAAAACAATTTAAGTATTTACTGTACAAAAATTTAAAAATGACAAAATAATTTAGAACAATTTCTAGATTACTAAATTATAGTTTTACCCTTTTATTTTTGGAGAGAACTTTTCCTTCTAATTTTTTGTCAACTTTTTAGATATAAAGATAATTTTGGGTATTTACTAAATAAAAAATGACAAAATAATTTGAAACAAAAAGTTCTCTCTAAGAATGAAAAAAAATATATATATATAATTTAATAATCTAGAAAGGACATGTTATAGATAACGAACCAATTGAAAAAAATTAGACAAAAAAAAAAAAAAAACTTGATTCGCTATTTAAAAAAATAGTGTATTTAATAAAAAAAATTAAAATTTATATATTCAATTGAAAAAACATTAAAAGTTCATTTACTTGTACTACAATTATCCCAAATAGTTGTACAAGTACAAGTACTTAAGAAACAGAAAAAGATTATATACATATATGAAAAGATTAATTAAAAAAATGACATTTTATGAAACAAAATAATATTAAATTAAATATAATCAACACTGATCAAAAGACTAGAGTAATTAGTTTTTCAAACAAGATGAACTAATTAATTTATTTCTAGAAAATAGAATAACTAATTTATAATTTACTCTTTATTTTCAAGTTAGGAAAAATGGTACACCATGAGAGAAGGAAAGGACTATTGTGATATACAGCTTCTAGAGATGAGTGAATTACTCATAGAAAAGAAAATTTTGGTTCCAAATCTCAACATATATAATCAAATGAAAAATAAAAAAATAAATCCAATCTTTCTTCAAAAAATGAAAAGAGAGAAAACAATCCTATCAGGAAAAAAAGAAGAAAAGAAAAAAGCTTAGTAATTTTACCCTCACAGACACCTTCACCTGTTTGTAGGTTTCTGTATTATTACAAAATGTCACATTTACAACTTGCAACAACACTAAGTTGGTATTCTTTTAATGAACAGATGAAAGTGTTCGATCAATTCCTGTTCTTTTTCCAGCAAAAGCAGCATTGAAGAGCTAGCATTCAACCTTTAAAAACTTACAGCCTTCTGAAAGCCAGTCAGCCACCAACTAGTGCAACCACAGGAACAAGCTATCCTTCGTATATGATTCAAAATATTCAAGCACAAGAAGATGTTCTGCAGCAAAACCTGTGAAAAGAAGGAGGTAGCATTAAATGTAGAATATTTAAAATCTGCTTCTCCCAATTCTCCAAACAAAATGTAGAATATTTCTTTTGTGAACCAAGTTATTTATTTATGTGGATGCACATAAATGAGATATCGAATCATCTCAATCTTCTAAAAATGATATGATATGATGATGACAAGTTACTTCATTCAGATATGTGCGCAATCATTACTGATATCCGGACCAAAGTTCATCAATCAGTTCATTTCAATGCACCAGTTGGAGAGGAGAAGTTACATGGGCTATCCTTTAGTGACTAAATACATTCTCAACATGTTAGCACAGACGAAGATAAGAAGTTGAAAGTAGAATCCAAATTTTTCATTGCATCCTAGTCCTTCATTGGAAAACAGTTTGGAACTCCCCCATGTAAGCGAGCGAACCAAGTAAAGTAGAAACTTAACATTTACACTACCAATGTTTAATAATTAAACTATCTAGTTGTCAATAAACATTTAATTATCAGTAATAGTATATTATGCAGCAAGTTTAGAGATCAACGGCAGCAAAAATGAGACAGAGAACAATGGCAAACGTGCAAGATGCAAACCTCTATACTTGAAGAGCCAGTGCTGTGGTTTGATGAGAATTGTGATCGTCATTAGTTCCTTCAGCCAGTTTTGTCCTTTCTTCAATGGTAGAATTCTTTATAAACTCTTCATCTTCAACAGTAGAGTTTTGCAAAGATTCTATCACTCCATTATCAGCAATGAAACTCTGCTCAGATTCTCCGGCTCCATCTTCAGCAATGGAAATCTGGACAGATTCTCTTGAACTTCTAGCAGATTCCCTCACTCCATCCAAGGCATTTGAACCTTGTACAGATTCTATTGATCCATGTCCAACACTAGAGATTTGCACTGATTCTTTCAAATCTAGCTCACCATGGAAGAATGGGTCCGTGCCTGGTTTTCCACCTTCCTCCTTCATCTTTAAATTATCATCTGAATCATCATCGTAATCCAAATTTCTCAAAATTTCTGGAAGGGAATAATTACTCGATCCTGCAACCTTAGCTCCCATTTCAATGTCGATTTTCTCCTTTGAGCTAACCAGATTATCTCCAAGATTTGGCGTCAGAGAACCGACTGCCATATGTTCATCTTCATCCACAAATGATCGGAATTTATTCATTGAACGCGGAATCTTGGAGAAAAAGATTTCTCTGATATTTCTTATCACTCCCCTATTATACGGATTCTCCTTCTTATCATACCGGTAGCGGAAATTCTCATATGTAGTCTGTATTAGGAAAAGGACCAGAAATTGTCAAATATGATTTAAAGAATAACCAGTTGGTCCAGTTTCTTTTCAGGTAAAAATGTCACCTGGTTTGTGCAAATCAGATAGGAATGGAAAGCTGTGAGGCCACCAACAAACCAGACAGCTATGAAGCAGTAGACTATGAGAAAATCAGCAAGGACATCGTGAGTTATAATTTTCCAAGTATGTGGCTTTCCAGTAAGAATGAAGACCCAAGAAAACCCGAACACGTATATGCACAAGATGGTTGCTGTCGCTATAAACATGAAGAAGAACCGATAGTTACGCTGCAAACCAGAGCAAGACATAATAACACAATAAGTTCCCACAGATAGGTAACAGTGTGTGATAATGCCATATCAAGAACTCTATGAATTGACAAGGGTTGTTTTGCTTATTCATAGAAAATTGAAATCACAAACAATCAATTTCATTTTTCTTCCCTGCCTTGCTAATTGATGTCTACACCATTTCTCCATTGAAAACATATAAGCCCAAAAAAGTAAAGGACATTCCTGTTTTTCAATTGTGCTTTAACTTTGTGTTGTCTGGCTTTCAATTGGTCAGTTGTGAGGTGATTTTTGCAAGATTACCGCTAAATGCCACAGAATTGGCAATGCATAATACGGATATCAACAATAAATCGTGCCATTCCTAACATCTCAATGTCCTAACCTTTTCCATAATAATAGACCAAACTTTGCCTAATTAGTCCAAAGCAATTATCAATTTTAAATAGGAAAGTAAGGTATCAAGAATTCACTTGGTGGAAAAGAGTACAGCAAGGTTGCAAATGGATGGACTAAGACTTGATTCGAACACATCCCGATTTTGACACTAAAATTATAGCCAAGGCAGTATTAATATAGAGTTATTAGGGCAATCAGGGAATAGCAAATTCTATAGGACAGGATGCAATATCCAAAATAAACAATGAGAATGGCTAGATATGTTAATCGTTCTCATGACTGTACTTAGTAACTGATCTTCACAACACATCCAGTAAATAGAACCAAAAGAGGAAAAATTATGCTTGAATTTGTTGGCAGCCCCAACAAAAGAAATAATGTGCCATCTAAATGAATTTGCTTGGAAAAATAAAATTGCATCAAAACTTGAACTTACAATTCCAATGCACTGACCAACCCATGGACAGTGGTGATCAAATCTCTGAACACAGTTGTTGCAAATTGAACAATGAGAAGCACGGGGAGGACGATAGAGCAAACAGGTGTCACAGTACTTAACTTTCACAGTGTGGCCGTTTACCATCACGTCTTTTGTCCGAGGTAATCTCAAATAAGGGGTTCTCCCACTGACCCATTCCATTGATGGAGTATTTGCGTCACCTGTTTCATCCGACTCAGGAGGCCTTGTATTTCTACGGACTATTCCAGGATCTCTGGAAGATGTCAAGAGGAGAAACACTAAATCCTGCAGAAAAAAATTGACTTTACTAAGGAAATTTTCATGATATGCAAAAAGAGGTAGTTTTGCACAGAAATTACTAAAACGCATGTTGCAAAATCTGACTGCACATCCTGCTAACGAAAACTTTAATATCAGAAGATTTCCATTCGTTGGTCATTTAACATCAAATCTTTTGTCTGAAAACTTTAATTAAATATGAAGATTCACTTCATAAGCAGCAAAAGAAGCCAAAAGAAACTACCGACTCCCATAATTATTACATTTCATTCAATTCCTGTGCTTCCTTTAAGAAGAAGTAGATCGCAATTCTGCCTATTGTTATCACTGCTCGATGCCAGATGGAAAATGAAATACTTACCAATACAGTAAGGATGGAGCCCACAACTAATACAGGATACCACCGGGCAGGATTTGTGGTACCTTTGTCCATGATCTTGCGATAGACTTTAATACAAAAAGCAATTGCAGGGGCAACAATAAGAAGCGTTGATAGAAAAATAGATGCCACATCAGGACCAAAGATCAATCTCCCACAGCAAAAAAATCTCTGATCAAAGCACAAGAATAAACAACCAAAGCTCATCAATGCTACAATTCCACTACACAAGGAATTTAAAGATTAACCTAAGTGATCTACTGATAAAGAACAAAGAACCAGAGGCAGATTTTATTAAATTGATTAAAGAAACTTAGGATGTTGAAGATGAACTCTACCAAAAACCGAACATGCTTCTTGCCACAAATCAAGCATAAAAATTGCAGGGTCAGATCATGAACCAAATCTAACCAAGTTCAACACAACACAAAATGACTTCAAGAACCAGTTTCAATTATGGTAAAACAACATTAACATTTTTTACCACTGAAAAATCTACCAGTCCAGCATGCATCCATACATTTCATCAAACATAACAAACAGGAACAAAAACATTCCTTTCCATAATGAAATATTGATCACAACTAAGTCAAACTCCATGATCAACAAAATCAAATTACTAACCAAAAAAATCCCAAGTTTCCATAATTGCAGCAGCACACACATCGAAAACAAAGAAAATAACCAAAGCCCAATTCAAAACATGATCAAACAACCCCATTAAACAAATCAAAAAAGAAACTTGACACAGAAAGAGAGAGGGATACTAACATTGCTTCCTTTCCAAACTTGATAAAGCCTCTTAGGCTTAGAACCCTTGTTCACCCTTCCACCTTCCCCATCTCCTCCTTCTCCTCTAGCAGGAGAAGCAGCAGTAGAAGAAGAACCAGAATTTGGATTCATATTCTCCAACCTCTAAACACACACACACACACTCCCTTCTTTTTATTTATCTACGCATATCAAAGCCAAAAAGATCCAACCTTTCTTTCCCTTTTGGAAATGTAAAGAAAACCCGAGATTTGTAAATATTAATGGAGTGGAAATGTGAAAAGGAGAAAGAGAAAAAGAAAGCAGAGAGGTTTTTGGATCAAAAAACAGGTGATACTTCTATGCTTAACCAAAAGTTTCTCCCCCTTTTTTGTTTTTTTTTTTTTGGTGATTATACCAAGACAAAGATTCTCTTATTAGTTCTTGTAAAGATTAAAACTTTTTTTAACACTATTTGGAATCGTTTCTTTCTTTCTCTCTCTAAAACACAACTCTGTTAGAGAGAGAAGAAAATGCTGGCAACAAGGAGTTCGGGACGGATGTTTCAATTTCTCGCGGCTTTTCCGCCAGTATAATTATTATTTTTTATTTTATTTTGCGCTATTCGCATATACGTTAATGACTTATAATTATTCTTCTTTTTTTTAAAAAAAAATTCAAATTCATTTTTGAATTCATCCCAAAATTAAATCTCTTCTTAATCAGATTTTAGATGGCTTTGTGATTTCCAACTTGAAAATAATGTTTTTTTTTTCTTAGTTAGGGACAATGCTCCTCTACATTTCGAATGTCGAAAATAAATTCATTTCATCAAGAAACAAAAAATAAAAATAATTAAATAATTATTTTTTCCTTAAAAAACCAATTAATTCGTTTATTAAAACTAAAGAAACTAATTTATAATTTATTGTTACTTTTAATTGCACAATTTGCTTTTAAAAATGAAATTACCTACAAAAACACGAAAGTGAGCTACCTAATGAAGTAGACTCATTATAATGTATATTTATTTATGATAATAATAATAATAATAATAATAATAATAATTTTGTAATCTAATAAGGAAAGAATTTTGAAGTGGGAGTGTCCAACCATATTCATTTTCAACCCAACGTGATGGCACAACATATTCTTGCCATTTGAAGTTGTCTCCACACGGTTCTCTCTCTCTTTGATCATTTCCTCATATGTGTGTGTATATATATTAAAAAATATTTAAAGTCACACGAATTATGTTTTTTATTTTTAAAGTCTCTGAATTTATTTTATTTTTTATTTTCCTTTTAATCAAAGGTATTTTGGTCAAAAAAATATTTGGTCGAAAAAATTGATAAAAAGAATAAATTAAACATTTCAAATACTTCTACAAACAAATGAGATATAATTAAAAATTTAGACATATATGAAAAACTTTGAGTATTATATAAAGACGGATGAATATATTTATACGTTATTATCATATTCTATGTTAATGTTTTGCTTTTCTTAAAAAAAAATCTTATATATAAACTAATAAATGTAATATAATATAGAACGAAGAAAACATTTATATATGTTTCATGAGGAGTCAAAACCATGCCAAATTAATACTCATTTAGCTGATATTAGTTTTATCAAGATCTGCTATATATATAAAAGAGAAAATGAAAATAATTATATAATTTCTCTTATCAATATTGAAGTTATAAGCCTAGGCTAGGTTTAGGGTTTGATACTTGTAGTCGGTATTTTTGAGAATTTATTCTCAAAATATCTAAGACCGTGCATTGAAGATTAGTCTCGAGATACATGAAAACTAGTTTAAAAACACCTTTATTGTTGAACCTAAAAAAAAAAATTATTATTTATCATAAACAAAGAAAAAATAAATTGTATCCCGTTGGTTCTTATATAACACTCAAATTCTATTCTTATAGAATACTCGGAATAACCGAGACCATGCATTGAAAAGTGTCATTTAATCACATTTAGAAAGAGATTAATTTCAAGATACGTAGAAATTTATCCAGAAACACTTTTACCTAAAAAAATTACTATTGACGATAAACAAAGGAAAAATCCGAAGAATGTGCTATAAATTAATCACAAGGGAGTCAAAGTAATTTGGCAAGAAGGGATAAACATTTTAAACAACCTTAGGGAAAAAAAATAGTAAGAAGACAAATGGAAGGCTTCTTAAAGCCTTTGGAAGGGATTTTGGTCTGCAAAAGCCAAAACAAGGCATCAACAGGGTTTGTCTGTCTACTTCATCATTGATAATGTCGTTTAAGCAAATATCTTTCCACAACAAGAAGCCCATTGGCTTCAAACAGGCCAGACAAAACCTGTAATTTTTAGGGTTTAAACTTTTAGTGCTTGTCGTTGAGTGGCACCAATGTTACCACCTGGCTTTAAAGTTGACCAAGTCATTCTTTTGTTGCTAATGCATATTTAGAATAGAGATGGCAAAATCATTGTCTGCCCCATAGTTGTTTTTCAAAGATTGTTTATACAGACACACATAAGATTACACATAAGTTCATCACAGTTGATCTTTAGAAAATTATGACATGGATCAGAGTTATGTGAATTAAAACTGTTTGATTAATGTGGTTCGGCGGGGTGTTTGAGGATCAAAATATTCACTATAAGAGAAAATAAATACAGGTGGTAGCAATTCAAAGAACTCAAACCCAAACCCCTAATTCATCCAATAATCCTCACAGATAATTTATACAAAATTGGATACATGAAACTTCTCAAACTGAAATTTTGGTTTGGTATAGGACCATCTCCCTCTTATATGGTTTGCATTCTGCAACCATCATCTGATTGTGCACTATCTGCAACCATAAAACAAATGCAGATAGGGTAAGAGGAGTGAATACTTTGATCCATCTTCGTCTGTGGATGTAGACATTTTGTGTGGAATCACGTTAAATCCTTGTGTTGTTTTGTGTGTATTCTTTTATTTGTTTTTCCATTAATCTTGTGATCGTCAAACTCCAATCACCTAATCTAGATAGTATAAGTTGCTATTCATAACAAACTGCTATTAAAGCCAACACCTATTAATATTTTCCATCACCACTAGAATGATCCGACAATAATCTAAGCCTGCCATTGTAACATTTGCAAAATATAGGGCAGAATATATTCATAGAGCACACCTGTAGTCTTACCAAAATGATTTTCCAGTTCATTATTTACACTCATCAACATCATTCATATGTACAATTCTAGACCAGTTATATATATATATATATAAACATTTGGAGAACGGAGTTTGAAAAACAAAAGATAAGAGGAGAACAAAAGAACAACAAATCAAGCAAATTGCTGTTCTGTTCTTCTGTGTTCTAAGCTATCCGACTCGCCGAAAAGGCCTCCTTGTAATCTTTTTGTTTTTGTACAAAGAGAATAGATTGGAATTCAATTCAACAAAATTTTTTTTTCTTCATCGTTTCTTTACAGCATTTGATACATTCATTTTTTTACCTTCTACCATCACCGAATTTAAGCTTATTAATCTGTCAACTGCTACAAGACGATGAAGCAGTACTGTTTCAAACCTGCCAAGTTATGTTTGAAATGAGTTCTATACATAATTATTTTGCTGGATTATCTATGATTTTACTGCCCAGGACCTTCAGAAAATTATGAGACAATACTTCATGCACAAGTCAAAAGAACTACATTTACCTTGGATGAACGTCTAGCTATCATGGAAGCTATTGTTTCCTGTTATCTCCCACAGGATTGCTTTTATCGCTGGAGCTCTGCGGTGAATTCTGTTGTTCTTGATCGGCAGGAAATAAAAAAGGGTCAAATGCAGGTTTTCCTTCTCCCTTCTTCTTCAAATTATCGTCAAGACTGCCATAATCCAAATTCTGCAAAATCGTTGGGAGATGAATGGCCCCATCCTTGCCAAATTTACCTCCCATTTCTATGTCAAATTTCCCTTTCCCAATGAAGTTTCCATTTATGTCAGGACTACCCATTATAGACTTATCATCTTCTGACACCCATTCTTGAAAATTGATTTGTGATGCTGGGACCTTAGAGAAGAATACTTGCTTAAGGTTATTTATTATCCCTCTGTTGAAGGGGTTTTCCTTCTTATCATAGCGGTACCGGAAATTTTCGTAAGTGGTCTGTGATGATCGAGAGGGGAAAAAAATTAGATACAAGAGTGGAAAACAAGGCACAGATTTTAGCTAGAGGTAAGTTACAGCATATGATGAAAAGGCCAAAGCAGAAGTTGGATGCTGAGAAAGTATATGTACTGCAAGTGAAATTGATTCGGTTGCTTATTTATTCTCTTTATTAGATCAAAAAGAAAGTACAGCAGAAATATTACATTCTGTTAATCATTTGCAAATGCCATACCTGGTTGGTGCCAATCAGGTAGACGTGGAAAAGCGTAAGCCCACCAACAAACCAGACTGCTACAAAGCAGTATGCAATGAGAACAACAGATAGAACATCATGCGACATAGCGTTCCACAAAGTTCTGTGTTGCCGGAGAACATTGAACCAAGAAAACATGAACACATATATGCACAAAGTAGTTGATGTGGATATAAAGCCTATGAAAAATGGGTAGTTGCGCTGCAAGCAGGATCACCACAGAAGAAGCTGGTTAGTGTCTGTCAGAAAAGAACTACGCAGACTCTAAAGCAGGAGAAGCAACTTTCAGCATTAGTTTCATTCTTGCATTCAAAACACGAGCAGGGACGATTCGATAGAGTGCATGATATGGCATTAGTAAAGCTTAAAGCTGGCATATGTCCAAAATGGCAAATTTCCTTGGAGATTTCTTCCAAGTTGGAGTGCCATGATAACATTTTTAAGGAGAATCGATAACTTCAACACTCCATTATGTCTATCTCAAAAACTTTCAAATGCGCAAACCAATCATATAAATGTACAAAATCTCAATCAGCCCCTATAACTTAAAGAAGAGATGGCTTGATTGTTGATAATCCATGTGACAAAATGTGTTTAGATGTTATGAAAATTGTCCATGTATAGATTTCAGGAAATCCTAAAGAATTCCAGGTAGTAACTTACCTGTCCAATGCACTGACCCACCCATGGACAATGGTGATCAAACTTCTGAATACAATTGTTGCAGATGGAGCAATGTGAAGCTCGTGGCGGACGATATAACAGACAAGTTTCGCAGAACTTCACTTTTATACTGTGGCCATTAATAATTATATCCTTTGTACGTGGCAATTTCAAGTCAGTAATTTTGTTATTAACCCACTCCATAGATTGGTTAGTAGAGCCAAGCGATTCGTCTGATTCAGGTGGCTGAGAGTTTCTAGGAATTATTCCTGGATCTCTACCTGACGTCATGAAGAGAAATACGAAGTCCTGCATAACATTTCATTAGATTCTGAAATTTTTTTCTGAACAAGGTCAGTCATTGCCAAGAAACTTCACATTACCAACCATAATAGTGAGGGCCAATCCCCCGACTAGTACTGGAAAGTCGTAACATGGATCGTTTGTTCTGATTATCAGCAGCAGCATCTTTATGCAAAATGCTATTGCAGGACCTCCAATTAAAAAGGTTGTCAAAAATAGAGATGCTGCATCAGGACCAAAGACGGCTCTTCCGCCGCAAAGAAATTTCTGATATTAGAACATCAAGCTTTGTTAGTCCTGTTCTGGAAAATATAACAACCTGTAACTGCAGTTTCCTCATCAAATTCTTCAACTACTGCAAAACACTCATCGATTTCAATAATGAGCCGGAAAAGCTCATTTTGAAACACATTTACCATTTAGAAATCTGGGACTCTCCCCTTTGATTAACTAAAGTCTCACTCATAATTGTAGCTGACATTTTCTGTCAGGCAAAAAGGGAAATGGCAGAAAATGACGCTGATCTCTCCACATTCCTTCATTTATATATTCAAAGGTAAAGAAACATTGGATTAAGGCACATTTGATTTAGATCCCCTTCAAGAATCATCAATAACATAGTCAAATAAATGACAAACTAAAACGATAAAAACAAGAAATCATCACATTTTCTTGCATTCATAATAAAGAAATCAAGCAATTCATAATAGAAAAGGATTGAGGACATGCATGCAGAAGGCTGGGAAAAAGGATTACATTGTTACCCTTCCAAAGTTGATAGAGCCTCTTGGATTTTGGTGTGGAAGGAGGATCCTTTGCTGCTGCCATATTATAGGAAGATCTTCAACTCTTGTACTTGTTATTTTTCTATTTACAGATACTTACGCAACAAAATCTCCTTCAAAATAAAACCGGCATGAAACCAAATCAAAACAATTTCTTTTTGAGAAGAAAATGTTTTGTTTTGGAATGACATCAAAAGACAAATGGGTATTTTTCTTTTTTCACATTCTTCTCTCTTCGAGATAAAAAAAAAAAAATGATAAAAAGAAACCCACCTGTCCCTAATCACAGACACCAATCCTCTTAGCAAAATCTGTCTCTCTCTCTCTTACAACATTTGCTGTCAGCTTTTCCTACCAAACAACGATTTCCAACGGTTTTTTCGCGGGCTAAAGTAGTAAAATAAGTTGCAATTTTAGAATGAAGCCCCAACTATTTCTGTTATTTTAAGATTGTCTCTGTTCAAAGTTTGAGACTTTGGACACCCCCAAGTAGACTAAAGTTTAAGACTTTTAACTAGATCATCCCTCTCTCTCTCTCTCTCTCACACACACACACACAGACTAAAGTTTAAGACTTTTAGCTAGAAGATCTCTCTTTCTCTCTCTCTCTCTCAGGTTTTAGCATTTTTTTAATATGACACTGAGGTAATATTCTTGGAGACAAAGTAGAGAGCAGGTCGACTCCCCAGACAGATGATTTCAAGGTTTAACATAGGAGATACTAGCCATAATGATTTTTTAGTTTTTGGTAGCAGCCAAATATTTTGAAGCTAATAAAATCAGTGATGAAAGGTTATTTTGTACCAATTCTAATAACATTTAAAATGATATAGTTCGAACCTTAAAATAGTCACAAATTCCCTTCTAAAGATCACTGTTAAATACAACTGAGTTGTTTTCCTAATTTTTTTGCCAATGATGAAAGTTTGGTTTCATTGACATTTGACAAAGTAGTCTTCGTAACAAAACTAGCTAGCAACTTTGCATTTATTGAAATGCAGACGCAGATCTCTTCATGGCAACCCTCAGCAACAGACTAAATTGCTCTGAAGACCCGAAAATGGTGGCATCTTTGAACAACAGCCTTCCTTCAAACCCGAGAGCATATAAAATGAACGTAACCCAAAAAAATGAGTGCAACTAGTAAATCTTCTTGGCACATCGATCAATTATTAAATACAAGTATTACAACTCTCAAAAGAGGCGAGAACTACTTCAATCTAGGAAAATACAGCATTGGGATAACAGCTAAACTAAGTTACAAGTCTGCATCCTAATGTTTCATGTTCAACAGAATTTTAGTAAAACAAAGAAAAACCTTTCATGTGCTTGTCTGCTCCAGTCATGGAAGGAAATTTCGGTCTTCACTCATGCAAAGGGCAAAAACCATAGACCACCAGCAGCTGGTGAAAAGATAGGCATGTTCTGAGACCACCTGAAGCTTTTTCTCGCCACGGACTGCAAACTAGCTGATGGTGGAAAAGTGAAGACCCAGAAGTGAGAATTCAGTTTAAAGAAGTAAATATAGCCAATCAAAATGTCTCTGAGCATTAAAAAAAAAAAAAAACTCATATTCATACATATTAGTGGCCAAGCAATTACGATAAATTTTCAAAACGTCCCAACTGTATCTAATATCAGACCAGATTTGATCAAATACTTACATGATCCGGTAACTAATCTTTTCTGATCATGAATCTATAAATACCAGGTTTGGTAAAATACTTGGAAATCCAAAATCTTGGGATTTCTTTTACTACAAATGACAGAAAGATGCATCATTTGCTTATGATGTCTGTCATACTTTGCAAGATGAATCTAGTGCTCTACCTTCTTGCAAACTCGTACATATGACGAGGATCATTAAAAGAGTACTCCCCTGCTTCAGACATCTTCAGAATTGAAAAAAAAAATGATTAGTTTAAGTATGGTCACACAAATGAACTTACAGCTCTATAAACCACTTTCCCATGTTACAACATCACTTTATGGGATATTTTAAAAGAATTTTACCAAAAGAAATTCAAACAAGGTCTAAATTAATCAAGTGCATATTTATAGCAAATGCAGGACTTCCAAAGTGTGAAGCATCCAGGTTGGAAAACATGTTACAGGTATGTGAATATAACTGGCTGCAAGACAGATAAAATAAAGAAACACGAACGTTTAGTGTAATTGGGATGAGCACTCATCTTTATTTTGTACAAAATTTTAAAATCAGCCACATTCTAGCACTTTCTTATGCATTGAACAGTCCAGTAAATTTATAAGCATTTGAAAAAAAAAAAAAGGAGAAAAAAGAACAAATATTTTTCGCAGAGCGAGCAAAAATGAGCTAGCAGGTTGGAATGCAAACCTTCTTCCGGAAGCATGAGTTAGCGAGGATCATCCTTATCCAAATACTCCAGTAAATGGACCATCAATAGAAAAAACCTCTGCACTTTGGTGACCCACATAAGCATTTTTTCTTCCCACGATCTGCTTTTTCAGGTGGTACCATCCCATAACCATACGTCAATTCTGTCATAGGAGGAATGTGTTTGATGGCATAAAACGCAATATGGAGCTCAAACTCCTTGCTATTTCCACGTAAAACTGGTTGCCAGAACAGATTTGGTGAGCAACTGTGATTTATAAAACGAGCTACATTCCCAGCATTTCTGGCATTTATTATAAGAGGAAATGGGAGGTTTGGAACATTATTGGAATCACCAGGCAAAACTTCCACTGGCTGGTAGGTGCGGGTACCTTCAAAGATGTGATCATCTTCGTTTTCACCTGCAAGCTCTTGTGCCTTAGAATTATCTACAGCTTCTCCTGCATATACACATATAAAAGCTCCAGCTCGTATGGGATCCCAGGATCTTAAACCCCAACCTTTACCCTTGGTCTTAAACACCTCCAAACGAACTCTTAGCCCACCCTGGGACACACGATTACGGCAAGTTGGAGGGCACGGACAGGAATGACCACACTCGTATACCACTGATTTGTGGCTCACAATAACCCCATTCACAATGTGAGGAAGATAGCCTCCATTTTTCTGAACGCAATCACAGTTCTTGTTTCCCGGGAGACATGCACCATTGCAAGCACAGCCAACAAAAGGATCCCTTGGTGCTGGTTTTGGATACTTGAGATTTGGAGAATAAGTGAAATAGGCAGGCCCCTTTTCATCATCAACGTCATTCACAAGAGAAACAGGCAACGTTTCGGCCCCTGAAGTAAGATCAGGTAGTATAATCCCCAACCTAGGAGTAATACCATCCTTCCATTGCTGAATTTTTTTCCACATTTTGTATGCCTCAGGCTGACCAGGTAGCCTGCCCAACTTATACCTAAAAACATTGGAACCAGACTTTCCTTTCTCCACCCATGACTCCTGGATTCTATATAGACCATCATACACATATACCTTTCCAGTTGGATTTCCCACATCCTTTATACCCCTGATTACTCTAACGTCATTACCACGATGCAAGCTTTTTTCCAGCGCAAGGTTACCCCTTTCAAGCTTCTGATCCGTTTCCTTACCTTGGCCAGTGTAAATCAATCCATCATCATCCTCAACATCATCTTCATATCCTCCAGATGAAACAATGCTGACAGCTATTGGTTCTTCATCTTGACTGACCTTGACAGACATGTAATCTATTCCAGCCATACTTGGAGCATGCAGTCCGATTGTGCACAATTCCATTCTAAAAAAGAAAATGTCTCCAATTTCAACACCGGGTACAGCTCCAACTCTCTTCTTGGCATTCGTTCGAACTCCTTTAGTCATCAAAACATTACCTGCTTTTAAGTCAGGGCGCCTTGATTGTCCCGTAGTGGCTTCCTTCGAATCTTCAAGCTGTGCGATTTGTCTTCGGAGCAAATTGAAAACCAGGAGCACATATCCTACGGAATCGGTATCACCATCATATCTTCGTGCTGCTTCGAATTGCACAAGGTTATATGATTGGAAAATATTTTCTACCATCACATCTGTGTCAACATCAGGAGAGGCTAATTTGTCATGGCTGCCTTTTGTCCTTTTCTGAGATCTACTCTGTGAACTCTTAGTTTGTTTGTCACTATACCCGTCTTCTTCCACAACCCTGCTGTTTCTATAAACCCTCCTTGATGACCCAGCATTTCCGTTTGCAGTCCGTGCAGACAGAGGCTCAGGTGACCGAAACGAATTGATTGGAACTGCTGACGATATTGGGGTGTGGTCACCAGAAGGGACAGACTGATTAGGTATACGGGAAAATGGAAAGAAAGAGGAAACTCCAGGTGGGAAAGGACCAGCTGGGGAAACACAAACAAAAGGGGCAGAACCTTGAGGAAAAGAATTAAAGTTCGGTGGTGAAGAGAATACTGGAGTAAGAGTCCGCAAGGGCTTTACATTCAAAACCTTGGACTTATCTATAGAGCCTTCGCCTGGTGATTCTTCCATTAATATTACTTCTGAATAAACAAAACCACAGTTTTAGCTACCAAACCCTCCGTCTATCACCAGTCTCTGCACATATATGACTTTCCTTTTTCCTTCTCTTCATAAACAATAACCAAAATTTATAGTAAGATCTGATGAAATTTCTTATGAGACGGGGAGCAGCACTTTATTGCAGAATGAAACTGAGTGCATTTCAAAGAAACAAACTTCCACACCACACAACCGCAGTATCTTGACAAAAATGTTGCAGAAGTTGCTAACTTTTTATTTTCCTGCAACAGGCAAATACATACACTAAGTCAAAGGAAGCCAAAACAAATACCAATTCACTAAAAAACCTGAAACAAAAGGAACACCATCCGGTATTCAAAAAACTGCGAACACACAAGCTTCAAAACAGCCACAAAAACATGAAATTGAAAATAACCCACTTTTCCATTTTTACTAAAATTGACCAAGAACGGATCAAGTTCCAATCTTTACCTTAAAAGGTTTTGAAAATGAAATCACTGGACAAAGCAGGTTTAGCCCTTTAAAGACAGGAGATAAATAGAAAAGGAAATTCTTTATTAGCAGATCAGAGAGACTAACAAACCTAATAACTCAAATTTAATAGAAAATCTGATGTGGTAAAGAGGATCTAAGCTAATAAAATCATTACCTGACTTCTTAGGTTTTTCTGTTTTGAATGAACATCAGTTGAATTTTTAACAAAACAGAACCGAAGGAACTCTAAAGTTCGTACATTTTATTTTGCTTTGTCTTATTTTATGTTTTCTTTTGGGTCTGAAATTCAAAACCCAATAAAGTGGTTTCTAATACTGTCTGATTGTAGTGGTTTAGTGAGAGAAACTCAAAATGGTCTTCAGAGCATTAATGGTTTCCTTGGAACCCTGTCTGGTATTGAGCTAGCCTTACAGTACTGGGCCAGACTGCAAAATCTACAGTCCCATATAGTACGTTTATGAACCTGTCTGCTATCATTGAATTTTCCCGTGATTATTTATGGTTATCAAAGATGTGTTTAATAAGTTTTTAGAATGCCTTTTATCAGTAAAAAAAAAACCCGATAAAGTCTTACTATCAGTTAAAAAAAAAAAAACATTTTTAAAGGATTTTTTTATTGATGATAATAATAATAATAAAATATAACAAAAGAATAATATTTATCCAAAATAATTTTATAATACAGATTTTAATATGTCACAACTTAAATAGCTTAGGAACATAAATTGCCATTAAACTATAAAATATCTTATTTTACATTAAAGTGAATAAATAAATTGATTGCTAAAATATAATAAATAAAATGTTTTAAAATTTTTAATTTCCTAGTAACAATCTTAAAAAGATAATTGTTCTTTTAATTTTTTTTTAAAAAAACACCAGCTTATATTTTAAGTGGGAACGGCTAATTTTTTTCTTTAAGTTAGACTATGCAATTCTTTGAACATTGTAATAACGGAGGTTGCCGTACAATGATACGTGAAAGTCACCATTGAAAGGAATAGGTTCAATTTGAATTGAATTGAGAATTTTTTTCGGTTAGGATTTGACTTGATCGAAGGAATAACTGAGTTTTGTTTGTAGCAGGCTAAGTTTTTAGCTGTACAGGGCTCTGAAAGTTCTATTGTCTTGGAGTTAGCAATAATGGGCTTAGTCAGCTGGTGTTATTAGTGGTTAATGGACAGATTATTTGGTTCATTTCCTTAGCAATAAATTAAGTCAGAAACACTGATATGGTAACATGGTTGTACGATGGTGCAACCCGAATCATATTGCAAATTTTATCCTTCCTCGATATCTTCTCTCTCTCTCCATCTTTTTCTATCTTTGTCCTAAAAAAAGGTAACAATCCACCGTATCGATTGATATTAGAGCTTGCAATTCTTGGTGTTGCTTCCATGGCCAAAAACACAAAAATAAATTAAATGTATAAGTTAGAGGAATCGATGAGGTCATTACCAAGAAACCACTTAAAACAAAATTGAGGAAGTAACTAGAAGTATGAAGGAACATTATGAAAAATGGAAGATGGTTCATAAGCAACAAGAGTAGGGTTTTGTAGAACTCAATACCTTACTCAATGCTTTAATGACTTCTTATTGTCACAACTCCTTCTAGTTGTGATACCACTTTTCCACCACACCATTAAAGTGTTCAACCCACATCCATCAACACAAATCACATTTTTCCACATCTCTTGCAATCATGATCCATTCTTTCCCATAATCATTCATCAATACACAATACAAACTAAACAGACATCTATTCTAGCCTAAACCATTGCTATAAACTTAAAAAACCAAATAAGAATTTTTCTACCTTTGTTGGAAATGATATCAATAAAAGGTTGTACAAATGTCATCGGTTTTTTATATTGAACCTATGGATGAATATGAAAGATTCAATATGCTTCTTTTTCTTGGATGATAGAGCTTTGAATTGGCATCAAGATTACACCTAAACTTGGATAAGAAATTGTTATTTAGTGAATATGTGGTTGTAATTGTAGACTTCGGCCCTACGAGGGACGGACAAGGACTCACCACCTAGTTAATTAAAAAGAATTAAGAAATCCTAAATGTACTTGGTCTACATAAATATCTAGGTAAGGATCGATTCAGTATGAGAAAGATATAATATCATCGTCATCCTATCCTACCTAAGGTAAGCTACATTATTTGCTTCGAACGTAAAAAATATAATTTTACCGTGTTATGTTTCTATGCCTATTTAAATGAGTTTATTTTGTTAAAATGTAAAAACATGTTAGTTTGGGGGTTTGGATGTAAAACATGATATTTGGAGGTGTGGATATCAAATAGGATAGTTTAGGAGTTTGGATATAAAATAGAGTAGTTTGAGAGTTCATGCTAGCTTAAGGCTAATGCCCCTTACTCAACAAGAAAAGGTAGGGGAAGCTGAAATTTTGACTAGTCATTAGTGAACATAACCTATTACTAAAAAACGGTGAGTTTCTAAACATGAATAGCCTTTTATTAGCATGAGCAACGAGTCATCAACGACTTCATTCACACAAATGGGAAGCCACCGATGAATTCGAGTCATGAATTTAGGAAGCTACCGACAACTTCGTCACATAAGTGAAAAATTATTGATAACTTTTTTTTTTTTGCTCGATCAAGGAGCCGATAACTAGTTCGAAGCCAATGATGATGTCATCAAATAAGTGAGAAGCTACCGATGGTTTTGTTTCAATTAAGCGGACAATAAAATAAAATAATCTAGAAAACAATGGCGACTTTATCATATAAGTAGGAAGCCACCAACGACTTTGTTTCAACAATTCAAAATTAAGCAAAATTGGTTCATAAGTTAGTGGTAACTCCATCCATAAATGGAAAGCCACTTATGGCTTTATTTTGAGGGGAAAAAAAACGATTAAAATTTTTTCGAGAGCCATTGGCGGCCCATCCATATAAAGCACATAAATTGATTTGTGAACCAATTGACGGCTTCGTCCATACGAGTAAAAACCTACCAAAAGCAAATAAAATGATTTATAAGTTATAGGCGGCTTGACCATACAAGTTAGAAGCTACCGATAACTTCATTTCTAACAAATAACGAGGCAAGTAGGATGATTTATTAGAAGTCACTGGGAGCTTCGATCATATAAATATAAAGCCACCGACAACTTTATATAAGCAAAATAGGTAATAGACAACAATCATAACTATTCATAATGCATCATTTGACACTTATATTTATCATCTTAAACAATCAAATAAGTTTAAAAATTACCCAAATACAATGGAAATGTTACGAGTTCACTTTTGATCGGTTTTAACTTCTTTTAATCTAAATGAAGACCGATTATTTCGATCGGCTAAGAAGAAGGAAGCCACTATTTTTTAGCATTAGAAAGACTTTTTTATGGTAATTGAATTGCTCTCGATTAGTTGTGAAATGACCAAATTGCCTTTGCATTGCAAAATAATGAACATGCCCCTATAAGGCGAAGAGTCGACTACTAATTAATTGTTCAACTTTTAGTAGTCTTTTACATGTATGGAACACCACCGTTGTAGAGGAGGTTATTGCGGATCTAATGGTAGTGGAGGTAGCGACGAACGATGTTAGAGGAAAGAGATCAAAGCCTCTAAATTTTTTATTGGATCTTTTTCTCTTATCAATGATGATTCTAGCAATGATTTTAAGATGATTCTAGCAATGATTTTAAGGTTCCAAGGATACCGATCGACTCGTAAGCGGTGGTTAAGATGTTTGATTTGGTTCTAATCGATCAATTTTTCTAAGTTATTCAAAACATATTGAAAACATGTTGTCGTTAATTAAATCATTTTTCGGTGACCCTAGGTAGGGATGGCAATGGGTCGGGTACCCGACCCATTAAGTCAATCCCCTACCCTACCTACTAAAAAATACTCTATTCATTACTCACTAAAAATCACTTATCCATTTCTTTACCTAACTCATATCCATTATATCATACCCCGCCCATACCACTGTCCATACCTATTTATCCACTAATTTTTTAAGTTTTAATTTATTTTTTAAGTTTTATTCATTTTTAAAAAAATATGTAGGTGTTCTTCCCTCTTTACCTTTTATTTTTTTCTTTGTTAAAAATATTATAAAATCTATTTCCTCTTTAAAAATTGAAAAAAAAATAAATTATAAATTTTGAATGTATAAATAAGTAAACTATTGATATTTAATTTCAATTAATCATTAATGTAAAATTTTACATTGAATATAATTTTCATTCATGAAATTTCAAATTAATTTTGAAGTTAACTCGGTTTAAAATCCTAGTCACATTAAGATATAAATTTGATAGCTTATTAAGGAATTGTACTTTGGGTATTAAAAAATAAATTTACCTGTAAAAAATGTTGACCAATTTAAATTGATAGATTATTGCAAATATTTAACGGAGAAATTCCTTCGATGAAATTTCAAATTCATTTTGAATAAATTAAAAAATGATTCTATTTTTTTTCATCAAAATG